CTTATTTAGTTCAGATGGTGTCAAGCATGTGTGGCGGCAACCAGGTGAGGAGTACAAAGACAAGTGTGTCTCGCCTACAGTCAAGCATGGTGGTGGGAGTGTCATGGTCTGAGGCTGCATGAGTGCTACCGACACTGGAGAGCTACAGTTCATTGAGGGAACCATGAATGCCAACATGTACTGTCACATACTGAAGCAGAGCATGATCCCCTCCCTTCAGAAACTGGGTCGCAAGGGCAGTATTCCAACATAACGAAACCAAACACACCTCCAAGACGATCACTGCCTTGCTAAAGAGGCTGAGGGTAAAGGTGATGGACTGGCCAAGTATGTCTCCAGACCTACCATATTGAGCATCTATGAGGCATCCTCAAACGGAAGGTGGAGGAGCACAAGGTCTCTAACATCCACCAGCTCCGTGATGCCGTCATGGAGGAGTGGAAGAGGACTCCATGGCAACCTGTGAAGCTCTGGTGAACTCCATGCCCAAGAGGATTAAGGCAGTGCTGGAAAATGATGGTGATCACACAAAATATTGACATTTTGGGCCCAGTTTGGACATTTCCACTTAGGGGTGTACTCACTTTTGTTGCCAGTGGTTTAGACATTAATGGCTGTGTATTGAGTTATTTTGCTCACTCCTGATGTACTGACTGCTTATCTAATTTCTTGAGACCCTAAAATGTCAGGACAGAACAAATATCCCCCAAATTACCCCTTGCTGGAAAATAGTCTATGGTATTTAGTAAGAGGCATGGTTAGTTTTTTGAAAAATGAATACAATTTTTTTCTTTTTTTCATAATTTCTCTTTTTTACATAATGTCACCAAAGCAGTCCAGCATGATCAGCGAAACTGACAAATGACAGTAAAAAGTAAAAAAAAAAAGTTATTTTAACATTTTTTCACATAGTGTGACCAGAGAGGTGCAGTCTTACCATAGTGACCTTAGTTACTCTGTGGAGGTCATCAGATTTATTTGTTGAGCCGCAGCAGACCCACCAAAGCGAGCAGGAGGATCACGACTGCGAAGATGTCATATGACATCCACCCGGGATGGGAAAGCTCACACTCAGCCACCATTTTGCTAAGAGCTGGGTGAGAAGCAGTTAAAATGGTACATTTTCTCAGTTTAAACATTTTGATATGTTTTCTATTTTCTATTGTGAATAAAATATGGGTTTATGAGATTCATAAATCATTGCATTCTGTTTTTTTGTAACTATTACACAGCTTCCCAACTTTTTAGGAATTGAAATTGTACATTCCAAACACAATGCCTTTTTTACAGTCACAGTTAGAGACAACAGGGTGACCCTGTTCACGATGCTGCACTCTATATGAGGTCCAGGTTTTGCCTGTCACAGTGGGCATACTAAGGGTCTTCAGGGTCTCAGTTCCATAGGGACGGACAACGGCTCTGGACCCGTAAAGCACTCTGCAGCAACACGTGTTACACAGAGTGCCAAAGTGAGCACCATGCAGGACCCACTGACCAAAGCAACATTACAGACCATCCTCTGGTCCAGGAACGGCTCCCAAGGTTTTACCAAGATACCACTGCTTCTATTGTTAGGTTAAAAGACAGTGAAGAAGTTGATTGAAGAAGATAAAATAATAAACTCGTAAAAGCGGTATTAAACACAAAACCAAAAATGTATTATATTGCAGTTTACCAATCATTATGTGTGGTGGATGTATTCGTTTTCTTTTCTTTGGCTTCTTTCACCTGGTTATCTGGCTAGTAACACCTCCTACATTAGAGTGCCCTCACTCTGGATGAATGAGCATAGAGGGCACAACAGACAATATCGTTGTCAATCTGTAGGGAGGGGAATGTTAAATGTACTAGCAGAATTTGAATACATTAACAAATTGAAGGTGAACTACAGCTCACACTTTATAATCCTTTACAACAACTTTTGGGATAACATTTTTTACAAGAATAAATAAAAGCTGATCATTTTAATCATCCCTGCCAGTGGTAAATGGATTGTCTCATCCTTCTAAACTCATACATTCTGCTTGAGAGATTGTGCTTCTGAAAAAACAACAGACTTGCTGGCTGGAGCACCAGATGAAAATAGAAATAAGAAAGCCTAAATAAAGGAAACTAATACAGCCATCACAGCTATGAAAGGGTAAGCTGCAATAAAATAAATATTTGCTTTTGGGTTTAAAACCACTTTAGAAACGTATAAAGTCTAACCATTACCTTAACGTATTCCTTGCATTAAGGTAAAAAATGTGCAGGTACTAGCTAATACATGCATTCCAAGTTAAATGGCTTGTTAATACCATTACAAAATGTTCTACTTTAATCTCACAACATGGGCATTCAATGCAGCCTTGTTGTGCTTGATCAACTTCTGAATTGGAAAAGCAAAGTGTGCATTTGGGGCCGAACATCCCCCTCTCAAAATCAGCTGCCCACTGGAGTCTGTACTGACTCTGAGGGGTTTATTTACTAAACCTGGTTGACTCAGAATCTTGGGCACCTGTGCATGGTAGCCAATCAGCTTCTAACCTTAGCATGTTCAGTTAAGCTTCAGCAATAAAACCTGGAAGCTGATTGGTTTTTATGCAGAAGTGGACAAGATTCTGAGTCAACCAGGTTTAGTAAATAAACCCCTGAGTGTCCATTCCTTAACACAGGCTGCGTCCACACACCTAAACAAATGACTCGTTCACACCGTATGGATACTATTAATTGTATCCACTAGAAATCTAAAAAATAGCTAGCTTTTAGACTGTGCACTCTGTTCTGAAGACTGAACATCACTGGATCACATTTGCAAAGAATAGAAAGACCAACAAGAAGATAAAACTGTAGCACCTAACTATAAGCACAAATGGCCTTGCGACATTTATTTGGTCTGTAAAAAGTGACTTTAAATACTATGCCTTAAACAGCTAGACACACAAATGAAAAAGTTTCATGGATATGTTCACCTTTTGTAACATGTTAAACCCATATTCAAGATGTAATATGTTATTGTTACTGCAGCGCCCACACCCCCTTTGTGACAGAGGGCTGGGGATCCTCTCCCCACACCCGTTGTCACAATTTAAAAACAAAAAAACACAGCTGTGTAATTCATTCAGAATTCTGTGAATGGAAGAACTACAAATACCGACACAGCTTTGCGGATGACAGCTTGCAGTTCTCAATGAACTACCAGGGTGCTGTTCAGCACTCTAGGTTGTTCAAAGATGCTTCCTATCATTGTATAACTGCCTGCCCATATGTGGTACAAGCAGACAGATGCATGGACAGTCTGCAGGAGCCTGAGATTGCACCCTTCTCGTACAATAATTAAATAAATAATACTACTAAATGCAAACTATTAACCTGCAAAAAGATGTGCATTTATTTATTTTACAAAGGTAAAAACTTTAATTGCCAAGATTCACTAACCACACTAGACTAGGGGCAAAGTGAAATGGACATTTATGTTTCTGAATGTGTATTATAGTACAAAATATGCCAACCTCACTTTATACGCATCTGTAACCCCCCCCCCCGAAAAAAAAAAACCATGCTTATCTATATGGACATTGTCACAATATGGGCTCTCTGCCAGTCCCAGTTATTAATTCCTTTATTAATCCCTGGCGTCCAGAGGAAGTGCATCCTCCAATTAGTATTCTACTCCTGTGTGCCAAATGCTACTAGCTGTAATTAATCCGCCCCCTCCACCCTCCTCCGGCCAAAAGGGTCCCCAAATTCAATTAATGTATCCTCCCCACTGTCCTCCTGTGTACAGCTACAAATTCAATTGTTGTGTGTCCTTCCCCGTGCATTGTGCCCATGCTGTGTTTGGAGCAAAGGCAATTAATGTTTCCTTGTCCATCCTGTTCAGCCAGTTTTGTGCCCAAATGTAATTGTCACTATCTCTCCTCAGAGATAGCAGGATCACCCCTCTCCGAAGAGAGGTGCGAACCTCATGTGGGGAATATCCGGATCTCGGCGTCACAGTGACGGCACCCGGTGTGGACATTCATTCCAAACACTGCCCAGACAAAGGCCGAGCTCATGTGAGCGTGACCCCTATCCAGGGGGGTGTGCCTCGTTGTCGAGCACCTGCCACCTACCTGAGACCCCAGCTAAGGGGAGACTGCCTAGCCAAGGGGGATTGCCTGTCTGTCGCCTGAGACCCCAAGCCAAGGGGGATTACCTGCCAGCTGCCTGAGATCCCCAAGCCAAGGGGGATTGCCTGCCTGTTGCCTGAGACCCCAAGCCAAGGGGGATTGCCTGCCTGTTGCCTGAGACCCCAAGCCAAGGGGGATTGCCTGCCTGTTGTTGGCTGGCAAGTTGTCCAAGAACATTGTTTCTCTCCCCCTTTTTTTCACTATGTGATGCCTGTTTATGTGTCCTTGCTTTATAAGCCAGTTATAGACTTGGGCGGGTGGCCACTTTTATGCATGTTTGAGTTTTTTGGTACGTGGGTGCACTAGGGCCCTGGTTGCCATTGTGCTACATGCTGGGGTCCAGTGCACTCCTTTTCCTTTAAGAGGGGTGGCTCCCTCAGGTCCACCTGCCCTTGATCTATCCATTAAATGCATGTGCCTCTACTATGGGGACTCACAAATTTTAGAGTTAGGACCACAGATGATCAGGGTGCCGTGTCGTGGCTCTGTGGCTTACGTATGTATTTGCAAATGTGTGCTAACTAAACCCCTGTTATAAACGCATACTGTTAGACAGGTTAATTCGGTTGTTAGCAAGCTGGCTGGCAAGTTGTCCAAGAACATTGTTCTCTCCCCCTTTTTTTCACTATGTGATGCCTGTTTATGTGTCCTTGCTTTATAAGCCAGTTATAGACTTGGGCGGGTGGCCACTTTTATATGCAGGATTGCCTGCCTGTTGCCTGAGACCCCAAGCCAAGGGGGATTGCCTGCCTGTGGCCTGAGACCCCAAGCCAAGGGGGATTACCTGCCAGCTGCCTGAGACCCCAAGCCAAGGGGGATTGCCTGCCCGCTGCCTGAGAGCATACTTACTTTTGAATTGATTACACTTTTTGTATACGTTGTATGAATAATTTTGGCATCATGGCTAATTTCCCAAATGCATGAAAATGCCAGCCTGAAAGAAAGAATAAAATATTATGCGATGAATAGCAATTTATTTAAAAGTATTTAAAGATAACTTTTTTTTCATGGAAAGTGGAAAAATGTGCACTTGTTTTTGGTGCGGTCTGATTAACCATCCCCATTTGTCCAGATGATTGTCAATGGAATAGAAAATGAGGGGAAACTCAATGTTTTAGAATTGTCACCAGAAAAGGTTAGGGAAAATCTTCCAATGAGACACACGTTTGAGTAACAAATGACTAACGGGATTTCCTCCTGATTTCCAGAGATATCATCTTACTGCCTGCTATGTCTCTATCCAAAAACTATAAAAAAATGTTTTTGCCTTTAGTACAGTATACTGTTACAGCATGTTACTGTTAAAATGCTTGAGTGACTGTTCAGCACAGTAAAAAATTAGAAATACCATTATGAATAACAGTATAAAATCTTACCTATCCACTTGTGATCTTAAAGAGCACAAATTTGAACTGAGCAAATCAGGGACCATGTCAATTCTCTGTAAATATACAAACAATAATTGTTTTTATCAAGGCACATTTTAATTCTACAAATGTACAAAAGTACAGTCCAACAAATATAAGGCAGATGCCTACAGGTGACTAAATAGAGGCAAAATAGCAGGTTCCCCGCTCTCAAAATGCGTAGATCTCATCAACAGATCACCTTCTATACAACCAGCCTGACTATACATAGATCGAAATTCCATTGGTCCCTGCTGAACTGGCTGAAATTCGATCCATCTATGGCTGGTTTTAGACTTATGTTTACTAGGCAACAGGGTGCTTCTCCCAGTGACCTTTTTGATAAAGCTGTCAAGCTCCTCTTCAAAGAGAAGGGGATCCTCTCAGCTACTTCCTCCTACCAATAATTGTCAGACATCTGACATAGAGGGGTTTATTTACTAAAGCTGGAGAGTCCAAAATCAGACTCCCTTCTGCATAGAAACCAATCAGCTTCCAGGTTTCATTGCCAAAGCTTCATTGAACAAGCTGAGGTTAGAAGCTGATTGGTTTCGCCACAAAGCCTCCGCGGGAGGGGTGGAGCCTGATCATGGAGGCGCGGGAGAGCAGAGATTAGATGCTCTCCGATAACCTTCCCCTCCTAACCTCCCTAATGTGTCCGTAACCGCTGAGCTACTGAAGACTCACCGAGAAAGGCGGGGGATCCTGGCGGTGGTGCGGTGGCTTGTTGGGGAGTAGGAAGCCGAGGCGACTATTCTCCGGAGGACTGCCTGAGGTGATCCCGGAGAGAGAGTGGGGTTGCCAGGCGACGAGGAGAGCGGAGTAACCACGTGGGCTGCCGCGGGGGACTGCTGGGAGAAGAGGAAGCCGGCTGGCGTCCTAAGAGACTGGGGGAAAAAACGTTGCCTGTGTCCTGCCACCAAGCAGACCCCAGGAGAGGTTGTACGACACAAGGAGAAAGGAAAAAAGGGACCCACTAGGAACCCCCACTAAGAACATGGCCACAGGAGATCAAACAACCCAGAACGGCAAACTCTGAAGCAGCTTCACTGAAGTGGGTGAGTGAGAACTGTTAATCTGCCTACATGATTACTATTTGGCTACTGCTATAGCCCATTTTATAAGCACCTTGAGAAGTAAGGAGGGGGTTCCCAGAGAGGGTCTGAAGATTAGAGAAGAAGAAGAGAAAGAAGTAATAGCTTAAATATAGACTAAAGAGCCTTAAAAAACCTTGAAAACCTTACAGGGGACATGAAAGGGAAAAAAAGCAAAGGAAATATGCCCAAGAATTCCCAAATTCAAACTGCAACGATAAAAAAATATACATTGCAGGGGAAATTGACTCCTATAAGATCCCAGGAAATAAGTGAAAGGAGTGACCTGGAAACAAGCTTAGATAATAGCTCAAGATCCTCCCTGGGAGCAGCTAACAATAGTCAACAAATAATGGAAGGTATAGAGCTGGGAGAAACTGAAAAAGACTTGCAAATACCGAATAAAAAGGAAATGGCGGAGATGTTTAAAAACCTGGAAAAATCTATAAAGCAAGAGATGGGGATAATGCGGAAAGAAATGGGACAGCTGCTAATTAGGGTGGAAGAAACGGAGGAGACAGTCAAATACCATACCCAAATTATCCCAAAAATAGAGAAATTGATAGTGGATACCCGGAAGGAACAAAAAAGACTGCTTTATATGATGGAGGACCAAGAAAATAGAGAAAGGAGAAATAACATTAGAATAAAAGGAGTCCCAGAGTTGCTACAGGGGGGAAGATTTTAAAGGAGACCACATGCAAAATTTTGAACTCCATAATGGATAGATCTGGTGCGGAGACGTATATAAATTGGATGGAGCTTATAGGATAGGAAAATTCCAACAAGAAAAAGGCCCAGAAAAATCAAGAGATATAATTGTCCAATTTCATAACTATGGAGACAAGGATGAGATATGGAAGAAGATTAAGGGAAGATCGAATATTAAATATGGAGGAAAAAATATTCAAATTTTTGCAGATATAGCACCTGGGACATTGAGAAGAAAAAGGTCATTGAAACCATTGTTGGAACTGTTGAAAAGACATAATGTGCAGTATAGATGGGGTCGATCAGCATGTTTAATCGGCTGGAGAGATGGAGTCACTGCATTTTTGAGAACCCCTGAAGATATGAAAGAATTTTTGTAATAAATTTGAACTGCAGAGAATAGAGATCCCGGAATGGGAAGAGGAGGAGGGAGAGTCATACATGTTGGGAAAAGAGGAATGGCAGCTAATTAGGAGAGAAAACAGAGAGCAGATAAATAGAGGGACACCGGGGAGGAGGGGGGAAGGTGAGCGCCACATGGACAGAGCCGAACTCCCAGGTAGGAATCAAAAGTGGGACCTTTTCCACAAATGATTCATAGGCAAACAAAAAGCCTAATAGGGGGGGGGGAGGGAGGAGTATCTGAGGGAGGAGGGGTAAGGGGAGGGAGGAGGGGGGATTGAGGGGGGGGGAGGAGAGAGGTGGGGATGAGGTGGGGGGGGGGGGGATGGAGGGGGGGAGGTTGGAGGGGAGGGAGAGAATTAGGGAGGGACTGGGGATAGAGATTTTTAAAACTGACATCTTGTATGAAAGGAGAGGTATGGGGAGGAGGAAGAGGAAAGGAAAGGGTAAAAAAGGAGGAAGAAGACAAATAAAATATGGAGGAAATACGCTTGGTAACCCATAATGTAAATGGATTAAATTGCCCAGGTAAAAGATTTAGACTATACAGGGAACTACAACATAGAGAGGCCTCAGTTGTCTTTTTGCAGGAAACACACCTAGAGTTAAAAAAAAATATTAAGCTAAGCTCTAGACAACACCCGACATGGTATTATGCGGATTCCCCAGTTAAGAGAGCTAAAGGGGTGGCTATAGGATTTGCAAAAAACATTAGGTTTGAACTAGAAGATAGAAAGACGGACCCGGAGGGGAGGTTTCTGTTCTTGAAAGGTAAACTACAGGACATAGAATGTACGCTTGTAAACATATATTGCCCTAATAGAAAGCCAGAGAAGTTTTTGAAAGAGGTTATGAGAAGATTGATGGACTTTGGAAAGGGATATCTTATAGTGGCGGGAGACTTTAACATTTGTATGGATCCTCAAATAGATACAACATCCAGAGTACAGAGAGGGGAAAACAGGTCCATGGGATTATTGAAAAGGGTGATGAAAGAGTGTCAATTGGTGGATAGCTGGAGAGTTGTTAACATGAGAGATAGAGATTACACCTTTTTCTCTAGTGTACATAGGACATACTCTAGATTGGATTATATTATGGTGGACCATCGACTCGTTGAGGATTTGGTTAAAGTTAAAATAGAAGCAATAACTTTCTCGGACCATGCACCTGTAGTAGCGGAATTAAGATGGGGAGGGAAGGTATTAGGAGGCTTATCATGGAGATTGAATGAGACACTCCTCATGGATCCAGATACTGATCGGAAGATCAGGGAGGAAACAGAGAGGTTCTTTGAGGAAAATGAAACAGGGGATGTATCACTAGCTACAGTGTGGGAGGCACATAAAGTATATATAAGAAGTATCCTTATTGCGACTGGGGCAAAGAAAAAAAGGGAAAGACGAGAGAAGATCAGTGGGCTTTTGAAGGAAATAGCTGAGATGGAACTCCTACATAAAAATAACATAGGAAAGAGATAGAGCAAAGAGTGATAAAAAAGAGGGAAGAACTAGAGAAAGTAAATGGGGGAAGAAAAAAATGAGAACTTTTAATAAGATCATTGGAGAAAGATATAGATGGGGAGATAGATCAGGAAAATACTTGATGAGAGCCTTGAGGAGAAAGAAGAATAGGAACTACATAGATAAAATAAAAAACTCCAAGGGAGAGTTAGTCCATTCAACCAAAGACATTGCAAAGGTATTTAAAGATTACTATAGTAAATTATACAATATTGCCCCCAAGGATGATATAAATAAAGATAAAGTGATAAATATTGAAAAAAGAAGAGATTATTTAAGGAAGGCAGGATTACCAAAATTAAATGCAGAATTATTAAACTCCTTAGAATCTGATATCACACAAGAAGAACTACAAATAGCATTAAAAAGCTTTAAGACGGGAAAAAGCCCAGGTCCAGACGGGTATACAGTGAGGTATTATAAAAAATATGCTGATTTACTGGTACCTAAGTTAAAGAGATATATGGAGGCGTTGGGGGGAGAGATGGAGATAAAACAGGAATCCCTTCTGGCACAGGTGGTTTTGATACATAAGGAAGGTAAAGACATCACTAACTGTTCAAGTTATAGACCGATATCATTATTAAACGTAGATACGAAGTTGTATGCAAAAGTATTGGCGAATAGGTTAGGAGATCTGATGCCAGATTGGATACATGGAGATCAGGTGGGTTTTGTTAGAGGAAGAGAGGGTCGAGATAATGGGTTGAGGTCCCTGATGCTTATACAGAAAAGTAAATTGGAAAAAAAAACAGTAGTGCTGCTCTCGATTGATGCGGAGAAGGCGTTCGACAGGGTTAACTGGAGATTTTGGGATTGGGTAGTAGGATGAGAAAGTGGATTGGAAAGTTGTATGAAGGACCGTCCGCGATGGTAATGGTAAACGGAGAGAGATCAGAGACCTTTTCTATGTCAAATGGAACCAGACAGGGATTCCCACTTTCCCCACTGTTGTTTGTTCTATCATTAGAACCCCTGTTATCAACAATTAGGAAAAATATAGATATAAGGGGAATAAATGTTGGAAAGACAGAACATAAGATAGCCGCTTTTGCGGATGATTTATTATTCTATGTTGGAAACCCGAGAATAACACTTCCTAACCTAATGAAAGACACTGAAAGAATATGAAACACTGAAACACTGAAAGAATATGGGGAAATGTCAAATCTAAAAATCAACCCGATCAAAACAGAGATATTAAATATAAATCTTCGAAAGAGTGAAAAAGAAAATATACAGAGAGAGTTTCCCTTTATATGGAAAGATAGAGAAATAAAGTACCTGGGAGTAAAACTTACTCCCTCACAGAAAAATCTTTATAAAGCTAATTATATCCCAATGTTAAATGAAATCAGAGAGGAATTGAGGAAAATGGGGTAGTGGGAATCCTTCCTGGCTGGGTCGTATTAACCTGATAAAAATTGTAATTCTCCCGAAAGTACTGTATAAATTCCAGATGATTCCCATTAATCTCCCAGAGGTGTATTTTAAGACAATTAAGCGAATGGTAACTAAATATATATGGAAAAATAAAAAACTTAGGATATCATATGATGTGTTAAGCAGAAATAAAGAAAAAGGGGGGCTGGGATTACCGGACTTTAAAAGATACCATAGGGCAGTCATTCTAGCAAGAATTTTTGACTGGACACATAACTCAAAGACTAAACATTGGGTCACAATTGAAAACACACTTAGTAGAAAGGATCTGGGTAGGAGTGTATGGGTGTCACCACAGTTTAGAGAATTAGAGGAGAGCACGAGTATATACACGAGAATTGTAATAAGGGAGTGGGATAAAATGCACAAACAGAGGAAATGGGACTTCAATTCACTGCTGATGTCACTAAGAAATTTAGAGTTTTTCCCCCCAGGTAAAGAGGAAATTTCAGGTAGATGGATTATGAAGGAAGACACTCAGCTGAGAGATGTAATGAAGGGGGTACACTTAAGAACACTGGAGGATTTGAAAAGGGAAGAGGGAAGGATTTTCACTAGGATAGATATATGGAGATACAATCAATTGAAACAATTTGTGGAGAAATTGACGAAGCCCCTTAGAACTAGGAAAGAGTGGAATGAATTTGAGAAATATTTAGAAGACAGAGGTGATGGGAAACACAGCACTGCTAAAGCATATAAAGCTCTCACGAACTTAGATAGTAAGTTTAAATTAAAATATATAGAAAAATGGGAAAAGGATCTAGGAGTGGAGTGGGAAGAGCAGCACACACAGAGGAAAATATTTAAAATGGTACACGAAAAATATTAGCATGCGTGAGGTAGAAATGAATTTTAAATGTTTGACAAGGCGGTATCTAACACTGGTGATAGAGCACAAGATGAGAGTGAGGAGAAGCAACCTTGGTGTTGGCGAGGGTGTGGAGGGTTGGGCACGATGTATCACATATGGTGGGAATGCTCAAAAATACAAGTATATTGGGAAAAAATTATAAATCAAATCACGAATATCACTGGAATGGAGATAGGACTGGACCCTGAAACCTGTCTTTTTCATAACTCAAAATTACCTGGAAATAAATATAGAGAACTGAGTATATTGTGCTACTTAAATGCAGCAAAAAGTCTGATTCCTAAGTTCTGGGGTAAAAGTGAAGCACCGAGGGAAGAGGACTGGATGAATAGAGTGGACCAGATTGCTAGACTGGAAAAACTTTATTATATACAGGAAGATAGGATGGTGACATATCATATGAAATGGGAGAAATGGGAGGAGTTTAAAGGGAAGGTAAAGGAAGGTACTGAGTAAGTAAGCATAAAGAAAAGGGAAAGAGAGGACAAGAAGAAAGGAAGGAAAAAGGGGAAGTGACAGGGAAAGAGAGAAAATATAGGAATTGGCCTTTCTTTCTTTCTTTCCTTTTCCTTTTCCAGGCCTCGGTCTCCAGAGGATATGAGATACAAGTAGATCGGGTATGTTGAAGCGGGGTGGGAGGTGGGAGGGTTAAAAGGAAGGGAGTCATGGGGAGAAAATGATTTGAAATTAGTGTTTTATGAGATTTTGTAATGTTATATTTTACACTATGGAAATGTGTATTGTCTTACTTGAAAAATGAATAAATATTTAAAAAAAAAGAAGCTGATTGGTTTCTATGCAGAAGGGAGTCTGATTTTGGACTCTCCAGCTTTAGTAAATAAACCCCAGAGAGTCAGTGGGACCATCCACGCAAACTCTTACAGCAGTCAGTAGGAATTCTAAGCACTGAAGGAACTCAGGGTCTGAAGGAATAGGTCCTGTTTCTTGGGATTCGCTTTTGCTTAGACTGCAAAAGTCTGATATGCTACCATAGAGATCATTGCATATTGCTATCCTGAACCAATCAGGCTGAAAGAAAACCTCACGTCCCATATTCAAGGTGCCCTTAAGGATCAGGATGGTCTACTGGCTCCATCAGAGACCTCCTATGACAGGCAACAGCTGAATCAACCTCAGGGACCACCCATTTTATTTTTTTAGAAAAAATTCTTTAGGGTATTGTTGAGCAAAGCATTCTGGCAGAACAAACTTTTTCAGGATGTGGCAAGTCGCCATACAGTATGTTTCCAGTAGGAGGTGGACTGGAAAGGTTTTAAACGGCCTGCATTCTTTTAAGGAAACCCATACTAGCAATCTTGGATCTGGTTCTAGTGCAAATCAGGGTCGCACCCTGTCAATCAACAATCAAACAATGTCATGGAGTTTTAGCAATACCATGGCAGAATCAGGCTCCCCTATAGATAGAGGAGGCCTCCCACTGAGAGGAAAACATGCAACTCGTTTTCCTTCTCCATGTCTGCTTCACTGTCCTCTTCTGAGAAAGAGACCCCCTGCCAGGGATGCATCAGCAAGCAACTTTGACAGAGAGGGGGATGGACATCGTTTTCCACCCTGTCAGACTGAATAAGATCTGATATCTTCTCAATAAGGGCGGACACAGAAGTCATAAAACCTCCTCATTTAAGGATTGTGGGATGCCAGAGTGGGCAACTGAGAAGTCTGAGGAGGAAAAAGAGTTTGAAATGGGTAACAACTGTGAAAGCTATCAGTGGCCAGTCCCCGGAAGGGGTCAGAAAAACTCCCCAAGACACAATTTAACTACGGTGGTAAGGAAACCCCTTTTCCTTTGTCCTTGACCTCTTCCTTCTATGCTAGAACAAAAGGTGGAAGGAGTCGGCCAGGGCACTTGTGGATTAGAAGATGCGGAGTCCCAAGATAGCTGCCACGTCATCCGCCATATATGCAGTATGCACAACCTGCTAAAGACCCCAGAGAAAGTGCTAGGACTACTCAGTTTATTTTTCTCTGTGGCTATACCCAAGTGGCTGAATGAATGCCCTCGCTGCCGCACTACCATTTAACAGCTCAGAGCAATTAGTCATTCTCATTAGAATTCCCAACATTAACTCAAGCAAAAAAAAAAAAGAAAAAGAAGCTTTAGGTTTGGCTAGAGCAGGGAACAATAAGGGCCATTTCAGGTGTTTTTTCTGTCTTGAGTTACGTTAGGGAGATTTTTCTTCACTTCCTGTCCAGGTGACACCTACTGAGGCAGAAAGTGAGTGGATAATTACAATTAGAACACATTCAGCAGATTCTAACCTTACCTTACCCAAATAATATTAGTTATTTTTTTGCCAATGTGTCCTTGTCAGAGAGACTTCCCCTCACTTCCTGTCCTTGTGACAAGGTTGACACCAGGACACAAAGTAAATGTGAAAAACCAAACCGGGGCGAAAGAGAATAAAAAAATGAAAAGGGTTCCAACATTCCCGATTCCATTCAAAACAGCACAAAAAATTAGTCTAGATTACAACTCAAATACTCAGTAGTTTCTTTGATCTTGGAAACAGGCATACTGGAGACTGGACTGCAGTATCCTCTGGATGTGATTACTGTGAATCACTTTAGAAGAAAACTAATGCAAGTGTGCTCAAATGCAATACAAAATAGTTCAGCTGCCAGCATACCCTTACGAATTTAACATAAAAAAAGTCAATCGTACAAGTTGTGATCAATTTGAAGGAAACAATTACCTTGTCACACAAGTATACAGTAGTACCCCGGTTGGAAGATTCCTGATCCAAAGCGTTGCCAGGCCTAATAAAATGGCTCACATCTGCAATATGCACTCCAACCTTAACCAGAATATTAAAAATGGCACTGTCATGATAATAAACTAACAAAATACATTCTTCATCATAGTACAATTTCCCTTTCTCACAAGAAATACATATTAATATTGTAAGTTTATACCATGAGACACAAAGAGAAAAACAAGCATACAGTAATTTTTATAAGACAGGATGGAACAAACACTACAGCTGAAAATAGGAGTACACTAAGCTAAGGTAACAAAGGTGAGTAAAAATGCATCGGCAGTAAAGCATAATACAAATATACCAATACAGTTTCTGTCCCATGTTAAAAAACATACAAATTATGATATACAAGTCTGCTTAGTGTCAGGAACTCACTCATGTTTATTTTGCCGAGCTTGTGATACCAGGACCCTCTAATACTTTCCACTCGAGAAAAAAAAAAAAAACTACTCCTAAGCTTCTTTATTCAAGTTTTCTAAGTAATGTCACAATAAATGTAAAGTGTAATTCCACGTTTGCAGCTAAATTGGGATAAAACCTACTTTATATTTGTAACACATTCCCATTCACATAGATGCATTTAAAATTTCTAGCTTACATTTGAATGCTCTTTTCTGAAAGCTTCAGCATTGGAAGATGCTACTCAATTATCTTTGTTTATGAATCAGCTATGGAGTGGTTTGCCATAAATGACCCTGTGTATACTGTGCACACAACTCTCCATTATCAGTTGTTAGGCTGTTAGGTTGAAAAATCACTGGGCTGAGCGAAACATTGTCAGCCAAACAGCAGCTGCCTTCAGATGCAGCCTCTGTCTGGGTATTCCACCAGCAGCTTACAAAATACAATAAACTCAGCAAGGGGATTCGTCAATCCACACTTGCAGGCTGAACGCAAAAAAAAATTGAATAGTGCATGACCAGCTTAATCTAGATTTCAACACTGCCCAGCTCAACAAAAGATTAAAGATTTAGAAGCTGAGCTTCTAAAATGGATGTCAATGAGAGGATGCTTAGCCTGTCCTAAGTCTTTTTATTGAGGCAGACTCACACTAAACTTGTAAAGAAATGTTTGCATTCTGCCATGACATCTGGTCCTAAAATATCTAAAAAGTATGAAACATTAACCACACGACCCCCAAGACAATTCTGATATTTCTCACATGCGTGTAAAAAACAGCATTTTTCTTGCTAGAAAATTGCCCAGAACCTCCAAACATTATCAATAAGTCTTCCACTTCACCTCCTCTTCATTTTACTGTACTATCCCACCATCTCTCAGGGTCCAAGCAGTGGTACTTAGGTCTTTCTAGTTATTTAATTCATTGCATTTCTGGTATTATCCTTTATTTTAACAGTTTATATGGGGCTATTAGTTACATTATATTATTCAAGTGACTAATTCAAATCATTAGAAATGGTGAAGATAAAATCTTTAGACATATTTTTAGCATTCTTCTATTAATGTTTCAACTCATAATTGTCTTTAATATTATATGATATGACATTACATGATATCTCTAGGGGTCGTGTATTACCTCTCAGCCCCCCCTCAGTTTTATGCACCTAAATTCCATACATATTTTCTATTAAGACAATATTACAGGACACGTCTACTTTTCTAACTCTAGAAATTATGAAGTATTAGTATATAACATGTATTATCATTATTATGAATCAATATCACAAATTATGATTTACTAATATTCAATATTTCAATCAATTTCAGTTTGTTTCATTTTATTCAATATCGTTAACTCATGAAACATTTTTTAAACTTTATTGCAATTTTTCTCAATATAATTGTATCACAGTGATTTTTATTCGTTATCTTTATTTCTGTTTTTGCTTGCAACTATGATGTATCATCAACGATGTTATTACGAGCATCACAATTTCTTTACTCACGTCATACTTCGTTTAAGCCCTTGAATGAATATCATGCATTTAATTGTGATACTGAACCAGTTGTGTAGATTCGCCCGGGGCAAAGTAACTTTTGGGCGACAAGCTTCGCAGGATGCGATTTGTCACGCGACAATCACGGCAAAACCACACCATCTTTTAGGTGCCATTGAAAATATTGGCACCTGAACCTGCATTTTGTGATCAAAGCAATTCTGCGGTGATTTCAAAATGCCCAGATGTGAATGGAGCCACCCTGATTGACACGTGTGCGATTCTGGATGTGTTTTCAAACTCGCAGATTAGCATGACATGCTAAATATTATTCCTCCTATTGCAGTGGTTCACATAAATGCAATCCACCAGCATTCTGTTTTTAGTCCCATTATGAAACGGGTGACACGTGATAGAGTAGCACGGCATGTGGCAATAAGTGTTCGCGTAGGATTGCTATTGACAGGAGTTTTGCACTGAAGTCAATGAGAGGCGTTTTTCCATTGAAGTCAATGGGAGCGATTTTGCACTGAAGTCAATGGGAGGCGATTTTGCATTGAAGTCAATGAAACATAATATGTGAACCCAGGTGCCAGGAACGCAATTTCTAGTCACCATAACAACCTGGGATTTGTCGAGCCATGCAAACAAATTAAATTTTCTACACTATGAGGCTTCTCCTGTGTTTTGTTTTGGCTCATATGGCTGTGGATGACATCTGGTTACAAGCAATGAATCATTCCTGTGGAATCATGGATGCAGACTTGGGGAGCTATATGCTGTTTAATAGCTCAAACACTTTTTTGATCTCTATGACTTGAGATCATTAACTACTTGTAAGAAACAGTGCATGAGGGGGAGACACAGAGCTCTGCAGCACTTTAATATTTATTGTTTGAAGCACTGTGTATGCCTTTCATCACCAGAATAATTTTGGTGAATGCATAGTGAACTTTTTTGCAAGCATTAAATGAATTGTGGACTGGCTATATATATTGTTGGCTAAATATTTTTATATATATTTGTATTCATTCATTCATTTGTGTCACTGTTCATTAATTTGATTTTTTTCATATATTTAATCTGTGTATGCAATTTCTATTTTATATGCATATGCACAATCATGAGTATGGATTCACTTTAGGACATCACATTTGTCACGTGGATGTTAAATTTTAATTCATTTCGGGCTTTATTGTTGTCATATGGATAGATTTTGGATCACGTGGATAAATTTGGTTATGTGGACAAATTAAATATTATATTGGTATTTGTTTTAATAATATTTTGTTTGCAATCACTGATTTTTTTCTTAAAGTGGTATGCACACCAGTTTATATAATATTTGTTTTGAGGTCCTGTATTCAGGCACATTTTGGTGTAGCAGCCTCAACTTTTTTGGCTTAGCACAAGTTTTCAGTACATACAGTGGGGATCGAAAGTTTGGGCACTCCAGCTAAAAATTTGTATTAATGTGCATAAAGAAGTCAAGGAAAGATGGAAAAATCTCCAAAAGGCATCAAATTACAGATTAGACATTCTTATAATATGTCAACAAAACTTAGATTTTATTTCCATCATTTACACTTTCAAAATAACAGAAAACAAAAAATGGCATCTGCAAAAGTTTGGGCACCCTGCAAAGTTAATATCTTGTACCGCCCCCTTTGGCAAGTATCACAGCTTGTAAATGCTTTTTGTAGCCAGCCAAGAGTTTTTCAATTCTTGTTTGAGGTATCTTTGCCCTTTCTTCCTTACAAAAGTCTTCTAGTTCTTTGAGATTTCTGGGCTGTCTGTCACGCACTGCTCTTTTAAGGTCTATCCATAGATTTTCAATTATGTTGAGGTCAGGAGATTGTGAAGGCCATGGCAAAACCTTCAGTTTATGCCTCTTGATGTAATCCCCCGTGGATTTCGAGGTGTGTTTAGGATCATTATCCATTGGTAGAAGCCATCCTCTCTTTAACTTCAGCTTTTTCACAGATGGCATCAAGTTACCATCCAAAATTTGCTGAAATTTTATTGAATCCATTTTTCCTTCTACTCGTGAGATGTTCCCTGTGCCACTGGCTGCAACACAACCCCAAAGCATGATTGATCCAACCCCATGCTTAACAGTTGGACAGAGGTTCTTTTCATTCAATTCTGTGCCCCTTCTTCTCCAAACGTACCTTTGCTCATTCCGGCCAAAAAGTTCACTTTTAACCTCATCGGTCCACAGAACTTGTTTCCAAAATGCATCAGGCTTGTCTATATGTTCATTTGCAAAGTTCAAACGATGATTTTTGTGGTGAGGACGTAGAAGAGGTTTTCTTCTGATGACTCTTCCATGAAGACCATATTTGTACAAGTATCTCTTTATAGTGGAATAGTGTACCACAACTCCAGTGTCTGCCAGATCTTTCTGGAGGGATCGTGCAGTCAAACGTGGGTTTTGAATTGTTTTTCTCACAATCCTGCGAGCTGTTCTGTCTGATATTTTTCTTGGTCTTCCAGATCTTGCTTTAACTTCCACTGTTCCTGATGACTGCCATTTCTTAATTACATTCCAAACAGAGGATATTGACATCTGAAAACGCTTTGCTATCTTCTTATAGCCTTCTCCAGCTTTGTGAGCGTCAACTATTTTCAGTTTCAGTTTTCTAGACAACTGCTTAGAAGAACCCATGGTGCTGATTGTTGGGGCAAGGTCATATGAGTCTGGGCATTTAAAACCTTTGAGATTGACATCACCTGGTCTTCCCAGACGATGATTGAGAACAATCCATGACACTGGCAGGTCTCAGCTTTGCAAAGGGGGCAGTGCATGCTATAAATTCTGCAGGGTGCCCAAACTTTTGCAGACGCCATTTTTTTGTTTTCTGTTATTTTGAAAGTGTAAATGATGGAAATAAAATCTAACTTTTGTTGACATATAAGAATGTCTAATCTGTAATTTGATGCCTTTTGGAGATTTTTCCATCTTTCCTTGGCTTCTTTATGCACATTAATACAAATTTTTAGCTGGGGTGCCCAAACTTTCGATCCCCACTGTATGTATTTAGAAGACTCCATATAACTTGAGTCATTGATTTTTTCTGAAGCACTGCACTGTGAGATTGAGAATAAGTCTGCCTGGGGTTGATGGGGCAGTGAGGTTATTTGTTACAACGTGTTTTATGGGTCCCAGATACTCCACTTCTTCAGGTTCTGTGAAACTGTTAGCTAAAAACCAAAATTGGAAGTCAGAAGCCTTGGGACTACCAATGACACCAAGGGAGGAGGACCAAATAATTACATATATAAGGTAGTATTCCTTTCAGGACAAAGGAGGGAAAAACCTATAAACATGATACAAAATGTGATAGCCCTCCTCTACTGACTCCCAACCGGTCCTGCACATTCACAAAAGCAATTTTAAAACATTGAAGGCACGCACCTCTAAGTTTCCATTTTCCAGTTCCCTGCAATGCAGCGCATCGTCAATGTCTGTACAGCCGGGAGGATCCACACTACACACATATAAATGTCTCAAATCAACTCTGTGCTTCATGTCCTAATGGGTATGAAAGTTTTTCTAATATTAGCTAGTTAGCTACATAAATTATTCTCTTGTATGAACAGATAGGAAAATGTGGTCACAAACACTCACCTCAGGTGTAATGGACCAAGGCATCTTGGGTAGGAAGCTGAGAACAGCCTGTGAGAATGGCTGGTGAGGAACATCATGTTCCAGAAGTAAAACCTCTGTCTCCGTCTCCTTGTCACCAGCTGCGCCGAGGTTCTTTACAAAATGTCCCTATTAGGTAAACAATAACAATCAGAAACGTAATCCTCAAATATTTAAAAATGGAAAAAAAAAATGCTGGATTGGACACTTTGGTTTAGAGCTGCCCATGGTCTTCTATCCAGTATCTCCATGATGCTTAGATGGTTCCATCACCTCACAAATTCACTTTTTTTTTAAGTAATTATCATTAACAAGAAAACATATGAAAAAAATATAATACATGTACTAACATTAGGATATCTGGAGTTTCTTGGCCATCCATCAATTGCCACTATAATTCTCTGTCCCTCCAGAACGGAGGCTTGCCTGGTTTCTATGCGAATGCGAGGTATGCTTCGGTCAGCTGGCGTAAAGAGATGGCGAGTGGACTGCCACAAAAAAAAGACAAAAACGAACGGTTTATAAAGAGTAATAGTTTAGCAAGATCATATATGCAGACAGATTGTCAGTTTATAAACAAAATTCTACCCAATTCATCTCTAAAAACAGTGCTGATAATTAGTGTTACTCATATATCAGTCATAATCCATTATTTGCAATAGAGGAAGGATGATGGAACTTTACAGAATCTTCTCCAATGATGGTACTTTAGTTTTAGTTATACGTACCAAATTACTATTCAATCAACCTAGCTGCATTACAGTCACAGTGGCATCTTATGCAGTTTTCCATAACGGTAACCCATGCCTAGCTCTTCCATCCTCAGAAGTCTCCATTGTACCATCTGGTGTTCCACGACCTTATTCAGGCAGTAAAGATCGTAACCGATGCCGTCATGGCCATACGGGTCTGGAAGCCATAAGAATGGACCACAATCCTGGAACTGTATAGCACCCGGCAGCTAACTACACGCTGCAATTAGCCAAGGCGAGACCCTAACGCAGGATCCAGTGATGCACTGATGTAGTGGGTAAATGGAAACATGCAGATAAGCATCTTGGATGTTCACAGATGTCCTATATCCCTCAGAAAGGAAACCTTGCAGATACAATGCAAATCTTTGGAATGTGAAGGAATTTATTTAGACATTTTAAAGTAGCATTAAACCCTAAACTAAAAATATTAAATATTACAGCTCATCAATGCTTTGATGTGGTGGCTGCATTAGATTTCTTGGTTTAAGCTTTGGCTGTCTGTTTTCACCCTGTGATCTGGCCAGTAACACACAAACTGTATTAGGGTGACTACACTCTGGATGAAGAAACAACAGAGATACCTTTGGACAACAGCATTGTCAGTCTGGGGGGAGGGGAGTTTTACATGCACATGCAGATTTAGATACACTAACAAATTAAAGCTAAATTCCAATTAACTTTAAATATGCAGTTACAGCAACAGTTTTTTTTCCTTTTGGGATACAGGTGTTACATAAATAAAAGCTGATCACTGTAAGCACCCATGTCAGTGTTAAATGGTTTGTCTAAACCCTCTAAATGCTGCATCTGCATAACAGCTTGTTCTGCTGAAAAACAACAGTCTTACTGGCCGGATCAACAGGATAAAATAAAGTCTGAAAAAAAAACGAATGCAGTCATCATATCTAAGCTGCAAAGTTTGCTTTTGAATTTAACACCGCTTCAAATCCAGAATATGGGGAATATCCCAGTTAGGCTTTGGTACCGTAAACAAGTTTTCTCAGGGTTTCTCAATCAGCATTCTTCCAGATGTTACTAGGGTTACTTGAGCAATGACAAATTTCTGCCTTTCAGATAAGTTTCCATTGACACCACTGATCTTTTTTTTTAGTTATCTATAAGGGGGTAATTATTCCCAACGACCACAAGTATAAGGAGCTTATCTATACTAACTATATACACTATATTGTCAAAAGTATTGGGACACCCCTCCAAATCATTGGATTCAGATGTTCAAATCATCTCCATGGCCACAGGTATATAAAATCAAGCACCTAGCTATGCAGAAGGCTTCTACAAACATTTGTGAAAGAATGGGTCGCTCTCAGGAGCTCAGTGAATTCAAGCGTGGTACCGTGACAGGTTGCCACCTGTGCAATAAGTCCATCCGTGAAATTTCCTTGCTACTAAATATTCCACGGTCAACTGTTCGTGGTATTGTAACAAAATGGAAGTAATTGGGAACAACAGCAACTCAGCCACCAAGTGGTAGGCCACGTAAAATGACAGTGCAGGGTCAGCGCATGAAGCGCACAGTGCGCAGAAGTCACCAACTGTCTGCAGAGTCAATACCTAAAGATCTTCAAACTTTGTGTAGCCTTCAGATTAGCACAACAGTGCGTACAGAGCTTCGTGGAATGGGTTTCCATGGCCGAGCAGCTGCATCCAAGCCTTACCTCACCAAGTGTTATGCAAAGCACAGGACGCCAGTGGCGGACCTGCCAATTCTGGTGTCCAATGGCAAATGCCAATTGAGCTCTATGGTGCCGGGCAGTGAGCACAGGGCCCACTAGAGGATGTAGGGCCCTTAGGCCACCCTCATGAAGTCTGTTTCTGATTGTTTGGTCACAGACATTCACACCAGTGGCCTGCTGGAGGTCATTTTGTAGGGCTCTGGCAATGCTCACCCTGTTCCTCCTTGCACAAAGGAGCAGATATTAGTCCTGCTGATGGGTTAAGGACCTTCTATGGCCCTGTTCAGCTCTCCTAGAGTAACTGCCTGTCTCCTGGAATCTCCTCCATGCTCTTGAGACTGTGCTGGGAGACACAGCAAACCTTCTGGCAATGGCACGTATTGATGTGCCATCCTGGAACAGTTGGATTGCCTGTACAACCTCTGTAGGGTCCAGGTATTGCCTATCTCATTGTTGCCCATCTACTGCACCTGTTGTTAATTTCATTAACACCAAAGCAGCTGAAACTGATTAAAAACCCCCTCTGCTACTTAACTGACCAGATTAATGTCCCAGGAGTTTAAATGACTTGATGCTATACACTGTCCAAAAAGTGTTCCTTTAATTTTTTTTTGAGCAGTATATATATATATATATATATATATATATATTTTTTTTTTTTTTTTTTTATTATAAATTGGTACTGACAGGCTGCACTGAATCTCTTCCTCTTTAATAATTGAGAGTATTGCTAATTTTTTGGTTGTTTAAAGATAAATCCACATATACATATATGCATTTCTCACATACACATACGTATTAAAAAAAAAAAAAAAAACACACACACACACACACTCTGTTCTATTAAATGGAGTACTAACCTCTTTAATCTGTGACTTTGACAACATGCCGCAATATGGTCTCCAGTTCCTTTTTATGATGCCAACTACTCTTCCAGATGGTTTTGCAGTTCTCTTTTCAACATTTTTTAGCTGTAATGAACCATTTACACAGTTTAGACACTAAAAACCATTCATTGTATACAGGAATGCAAGCACAGTATTTATCTGTAGGTGTTCCTGGCAAGCAGAGCAGAATGAAAAGGCCTGTTTTATCTGCTTGCCCCAATTAGTTAATAACATTTCCAATTTTTGAATGGAGAATTTATCAAAGCAATTGCAAATGATGTCGTCCAGGAGCTGCCAAGCCATCGAATGACAAAATGGGTAGGGCGGGGCTCTGGAAGTGACGTCACTACGTACGGGTTAGCCGCCGGTGTTCGTAGAGCCCGGAGCTGATCCGATTGTTTTATGCATGATCTTATTGCTTGTGTCGGCTATGACACTTTACTTGAGAGTACGGTTTATGCTCTCAAATGGAATAAAACATTTTTTGCAATGGTTTTACGCTATGAAGCTTCCTCTTCTCCTCCTTCCATATGATATATACATGCATGAGGATTTATCCGTAGAGGTGGTGTAGAGGCTGTCGGCATTCCTGCAGATCATTGCTCCCAGAGCCACTGCTAATTAGATGTTTTATAAAATTACCAGCATAGAGTTTTGGTGAGTTTATTTAATTTGGCTAGTGGTGGATTTGTCACAGTGTGGTGGTGTTTGATAAGAAGCATGAATATTCATGAAGATATAAAAAAGAGATTTTTACACATTTATGTATGGACTTTTAAATATATTGATAATATTGTATGGACATATTGTTAATCACATATTAGTAGTGGTTATAGATATATGATACAGATGTAACAACATTTAAGATATTTGTTTTCACTTGTTATATAATTTTTTATGTTTTCGGTATTTAAATAGTTTCTTCTTTTTTTGGCACATTAAGGTTATAGTTAGGAGATAAGGTCTGCCTTTATATGTGATAGCATTCGTATCTTGAGGAGTGCTTATCTAAAATATTTTTTACACTTCATTTTTTCTTGGTTCCCAAGTAATTAGAGAGCTGCTCCCTTCCCTTCCTCCTTTTTTATTTTGTTTTAATTTGAAATTTTAAACAGTGGTATACATGTCAATTGGTGCCGTCCAATATTAAGATATAAGTAGCAGAAGTGACAAGCTTCTTTGGATTGCATAACAGGAACTGAATTCCTGTTCGTAAAGTTTTACCTGTAAATTTATTTTCTTGGAATACATCATGGGACACAAAGTATCTTCATGTTAATGACGACAGAGGTTATGCTGTCACCTTCAGGAGACTGGACACTCGCAAAAAATATAGGAAATCCCCTCCTAGACTTATACCCACCCAGCCAGGCAAGGCTTCAGCTTTTGTAGAAAACCATGGACCACAATGGAAGAGAGGTAGGATCTCTTCCAGATTCCTGATTATTTTTGTATTTCTACTAGTAGTATCTCACTCTCTTATCATGCGACATGACCAGACCCTGAGGCTTTGGCACATGCCTACAGCCACAATTGCTGGTTGTAAAACAATGAGGCTTTAAAATAAGGCCACAAGGGAAGAAATGAGGATGTTGCAGAGGATGCCCTAATTTGAAATCTGTAAACTTCTAAAAAGAAGACTCGGGAAAAGGTCATTTTAAAACAGTCTAAACCACTTTTGAAAGAGAACTCACAAAGGCCTTTTTGGTCTTAGATATACCCTGATCCTGGGGTTCTTCAGGGGTCCTCAGAAGAGGAGTCTTTCTTGTCCCCTTCTACCAGAGAAAGGCGGATAGGAAAAAACTGCCGACCGGCAACATCACAGGTCATTAACGCATATCCAGTGAGGTGTCCAGGTATCATTCCTCTGATTGCAGAAAAACCGTAGGCCAATCTCCTAATCCCTGGTGGAAATCTTGAGAAGCTGCCTATTTTCATGCAGAGACTGCACAGACATGAGAGACATGACCATCACCACAGACACCAGAAAAATAACTGAAGCCTTGCCTAGCAAGGAGGGGTTATGCAGGCCATAGATGGGTCGAAAATCGGCCGATTTGTCGGCCGAAAATAAAGTCGGCCGATTTTCGGATCGTTAGTGGGCGATTTGGTCGGCCGTTTTTCGGGATTTTGGCGGTTTTTTTTTTTTGGTAAAGTTGGAAAAAAATCGGCCGATCGGCCGATATTCGCGGCATTAATGGGCCAATCGGCCGATTTTTTACCGATAAAAAATCTGCGCGCATGAGCAGTGACCTGCAAGAGGAAGACAAAAAGAAGAAAAAGAAGAAGAGGAAGAGGATGAAGAAGAGGATGAAAAAGAGGATGAAGAAGAGGAAGAAGAAGATGAGGATGAAGAAGAGGATGAGGAAGAAGAAGAAGAGGATGGGGAGGAAGAAGAAGAAGAGGATGATGATGATGAAGAAGATGAGGATGAAGAAGAAGAGGATGAGGATGAAGAAGATGAGGATGAAGAAGAAGAGGATGAGGATGATGAAGAAGAAGAGGATGAGGATGATGATGAAGAAGAAGAGGATGAGGATGAAGAAGAGGATGAGGAAGAAGAAGAAGAAGAAGAGAGAAGAAGAAGAAGAAGAAGAAGAGGATGAGGATGAAGAAGAAGAGGATGAGGATGAAGAAGAAAAAGAGGATGAAGAAGAAGAAGAAGAGGATGAGGAAGAAGAAGAAGAGGATGAGGATGAAGAAGAGGAGGAGGAAGAAGAAGAGGATGAGGAAGAAGAAGAAGAAGAGGATGAGGATGAAGAAGAAGATGAAGAAGAAGATGAAGAAGAAGAAGATGAAGAAGAAGATGAAGAAGAAGAAGATGAAGAAGAAGATGAAGAAGAAGAAGAGGATGAGGATGAAGAAGAAGATGATGAAGAGGATGAGGATGATGAAGAAGAAGAAGAGGATGAAGAAGAAGAAGAAGAAGAGGATGAGGATGAAGAAGAAGAAGAGGATGAGGATGATGAAGAAGAAGAGGATGAGGATGAAGAAGTAGGATGAAAATAAGAAGAATTCCAGTCCAGCAAAAAGTATCTCTGCAGAGAGCTCCGCTATTTCTGACAGTTCTCTGACAGTTCTTTGACATTTACAGCGGTTGAAACATTGTATCTATTTGTTTCCGAATAAAAACATCTGTATCCTAAATGGAAACAAATAGATACAATGTTTCAACCGCTGTAAATGTGAAGGAACTGTCAGAGAACTGTCAGAAATAGCGGAGCTCTCTGCAGGGACACTTTTTGCCAGCTGTAGAAGGGATGAAAATCGGCCGATTTTTTTTACCATTGATGGTAACGTCGGCCGCTTGAACGACCGAATTTTCGTTTTTTAAAAGAAAAATCTGCCGTTTTTTCTCCCCATCTATGGCCTGCATTAAGCCTAGGAGGGGATTTCCTGCCTTTTTTGCAAGTGTCCAATCACCTGAAAGTGGCAGTATAAACTGACTATCATGGAAATGAAGGTGCTATTTGCCTTGTGATGTACAATAAAGAAAAACAAAATACACTTTAACCACCGCAGTCATTTTCCTGTGGGTGGCTTGTACAGGCACTGTCACGTACCTGTATGTTAGCACCTTCTTCCAGGTCCCTCCCTCCTCATTGGTGGGTGGTATAGAGCATGTGGATGATATTCTAATCTCCTTGATGATCTCTGTAAAATCTCTCTTGGTTCTACAAGATTTTTTCAAGAAGTGTGCAAAGCGCTCAGAAATAACTCTAAACCGTTTATGCTTCCGGTGCATATTTTGCTTGAATTAAAAGTAGTATATCTCTTCTATCTCTCCACGGCACAGTCTTCACAACTCATATACTTAGGTATAAATCTCACATCGCCTGGGTGCAACTTATTTAATGCCAACTGCACTGTGCTACTAGTGAAAAAATGATTAAGCTATGTAAAGAATACAGTCAAAAACACTGAACTCTTGTGCAGGCAGGATAGCCTCAGTTAATGTTCATACTACTGCACATACTGTACTTCTTTCGCTCTCTCCTTATCCTAATCCTGCTCAAGTACCTCAAGAACATTCAGAGGCTCATGGTCAGTTTCATTTGGGGTAATACAAATAGCAGAAAATCTTTGTACACCCTTAACCCCTTCACACCTAAGGGTAAACAAATCTAAATGCCGAAGTACAATTTTGCAACGTTGAAATGTGTTGTTAAAACAGTACATACCATCACAACTACTTTGTAAATCCAAGTGAATTATACCTTGTTTTTTTCAGGACAAATTGGATTTTCATTTGGTGGTAAATGGTAATGGATATCTCCTGATTTTTTTTTATTATCAAAGGAAAACTGGCCCAAAATATTAAAATAAAATCTTTTTTTAAATTTAGCTGTGAGTTTCTTGTTACTACCGTAACCTACCACCAAATAACAACTCAAAATAAATTCTCCAGCACTTAATGGCAGCGATACCATATATGTGTATGTTATTATTTGTTGTTTGTACCCGTAGTACAGCCCAGAAACATTAGTGCACATTTTGTTTGTTTCATTTTACCTAAAACACACTGACACTTACTGACACAAATACCAATTTTTTTTAAATCCTGACCTTTGACCCTGCCCTTTTGACTTTGACCCTGACCCAAACACATACCCTGGCACTGAACTAGATCAAACCTTGATCTAGGTATTTTTTCTTTATTTTTAATATTTATCTTTTTTTTTTTTACAAACATTTTTTTCCCCCCTCTATGCCAGGAGTTAGAAAGATAAAATGCATCTCTCTCCTCCATTCATAGAGAGGAAAAAAACAAGGGGGCCAGGCTGTACAGTGACTGATCACTGTGACAGCCAATCAGAGACTATCACAGCGATCATGTGACCCGAATTCGGGAGTCCCGGGTCCCAATCATTAGAACGGGACCCAGTGCTCTGTGACACCGCAGTCTTGAACCTGGGAGAGCGCTGTGCGGCACGCTCACAGCAGAAACACAGGTACGCAAATATGCTGCCCCATGGAAAAATTTCCAGATCTGTGAGGCTGCATATTTGTGTTACGTCGGCATCAAGGGGTTAAATCACAAGTGAGGATGGGGGCCCTGATGTAACCATGTATTAAACAGTGACACAATGGTGGAGTGTATTCTCCCCTAAAAGATTGGCACCAATGGAACAGGACACTATTTCTGCTAGTTATTTAACTTACAATAAAACTAAACTAATAAATCTCAACATTCCTAAACCCTAACAAGTGGTACCTGGAACGGGCAAATTGCATTATTACCATTGAGAATTACAGTTGCAAGAAAAAGTATGTGAACCCCTTGGGATTACGTGGAGTTTTGCATGAATTGGGCATAAAATAGACACAACAATAGAAGAACACAGTCTGTTGAACATAATACTACACAAACATTAGATGTTGCCATGGTTTAATTGCACATAACATGTAAACATTCACAGTGCAGGGAGGAAAAAGTATGTGAACCTCTGAACTTAACTGGTTGACCCTCCTTTGGCAGCAATAACCTCAACTAAACGTTTCCTGTAGTTGCAGATCAGACCTGCACAATGATCTGGAGTAATTTTGGACCACTCCTCTTCACAAAACTGTTTCAGTGTAGCAATATTCTTGGGATGTCTGGTGTGAATCGCTCTCTTAAGGTCATGCCACAGCATTTCAATCGGGTTGATGTCAGGACTCTGACTGGGCCACTCCAGAAGGCATATTCTGTGCTGTTGCAGCCATTGTTTTGTTGAATTACTTGTATGCTTTGGGTCATTGTCCTGTTGCATCACCCATCCTCTGCGGAGCTTCAGTTGGCGGACAGATGGTCGTACGTTTTCCTGCAAAATGTCTTGATAAACTCTGGAATTCATTTTCCCATCAATGACAACAATCCGTCCAGGCCCTGAGGCAGCAAAGCAGCCCCAAACCATGATGCTCCCTCCGCCATGTTTTTCAGTGGGGATGAGGTCTTGATGTTGGTGTGCTGTGCCTTTTTTTCTCCACACATAGTGTGTGTGTGTGTTCTTCCCAAACAACTCAATCTTCGTTTCATCTGTCCACAGTATATTTTGCCAGTAGTGCTGTGGAACATCCAGGTGCTCTTTTGCAAACTTCAAACGTGCTGCAATATTCTTTTTGGACAGCAATGGCTTCCTCCGTGGTGTCCTCCCATGTACTCCATCCTTGTTTAATGTTTTCCTTATTGTAGATGTGTCAACAAAAATGTTAGCATGTGCCAGAGATTTCTGTAGGTCTTTAGCTGACACTCTGGGATTCTTCGTTACCTCCTGCAGCATTCTGCGCTGTGCTCTTGCAGTCATTTTTACAGGACGTCCACGCCTAGGGAGAGTAGCAACAGTGCTAAACTTTCTCCATTTGTAGACAGTCTGTCTTACCGTGGACACATGAACATCAAGGCTTTTGGAGATACTTTTGTAACCCTTTCCAGCTTCATGCAAGTCAACAATTCTTGATCGTTGGTCTTCTGAGAGCTCTTTTCTGCGAGGCATGGTTCACAACAGTAGGTGCTTCTTGAAACCAGTAAACCCAAAACAGGTGTGTGTTTTTTAAGGGCAGGACAGCTGTCAGCAACACATCCAATATCATCACACTGATTGGAGTCAAGGTTGGCTCACTCCTGGCTCCAATTAGCTCTGGGAGAAGTCGTTAAGCTAGGGCCTCACATACTTTTTCCTCCCTGCACTGTGAATGTTTACATTTTATGTGCAATTAAACCATGGCAACATCTAATGTTTGTGTAGTATTATGTTCAGCAGACTGTGTTCTTCTATTGTTGTGACTTAGATGACGTTCAGAGCACATTTTATGCCCAATTCATGCAAAACTCCACATAATCCCAAGGGGTTCACATACTTTTTCTTGCAACTGTATATTTTGTTCCATGAAATTTGATATTTAAAAACTAAATAAAAGTATCTAGATTTGTGTAGGACATAGCAAACATGTAGGTGTATTTTACCTTTAATCATCAACAAAAGCAAAGACTGAGTAAAACATTTTCCACATAACTCAAGAGTAAACAAGTTACTGTAAAACACGAATTCAGATTAGTTTCATCCTCATTCACTGAAAGGGCAAGACACCACATTTTAAAATTATATTTATCTTTGCATGCTACACAAAACAGTAACAATTGTTTAAATACCATTTTTTCTTTTTCCTCTACGACTTCAATATCTTCACTTTCACCATCATCTTGGAGGACCACAGAGGATGGAGCCACCCAATTATCTTTTTCCAAGAGCTGTACAGCAACAATGTCTTCGTGCATTGCTCGGTTTAGGTTTCGCAACCCTTGTAAGATTACCTACAAATGTGTATGGAAATCATGCCATGCATTAGGATTGTATATAGGAGTCACTTTCTGTCTTTTTTTTTTTTTTTACCACACATGCTTTACACCTGCAGCCATTTATAAAGAGTTTTCCTGTAAGGTGAAATGTTTTTTATTTGCAGCTACTTTTTTTTTTGTTGGGGGAGGGTTTACAGCCCAAATGACACCCAGCTAAATTGTGGACCTGTAGAGCTCCATACAATATGAGCACAACATACAAACCATGTTGAAATTATATTTTATCCTTCCCGCCCATTCCCCTGATTAGAATAATTGTTCTATGCTGTTGTAATGGGATTCAAACCATTAACAATTAGTTTCTTTTTGCACCCATTGCAAGCAGTTAACATGACAAGCTCCCATACGTTTGCAAAAAAAGGTATTAGGTTTTCAATATGTTATGTTACTGAAACAGATATTTATCAACCACTTACCATCCGGTCCATGTATGTAAATGGCCGGACGGGAGCAGTGCAGGAGTGGGTTGCCGTTCATAAACGGCGCACGCATTTTCAGCCTGTGCACGGTCCTTGGGAGCGTGTAGCACCGCGATTTGGTGCCCGCTGTGTCCGGAACACAGCGGAACACCGATCACTGTACGGGACCTCTGTGTGAGGTCCCGATCGTGTGATCACTGATTGGCCAATCAGTGATCACATGAATAGTAGTAAGCAAGATGTCACTTCCTGACATTGCTTACTACTTGTGAAATCTGTGAATGATCACAGAGTTCACATGGTATAAGGCTATTCACAACAACCTTGTACCATGTGTGACAAGCTGTGACCAATCACAGCTCACACAGTATTTCTCAATGGCTACAAGAATGCAGTCAGAGAGAAGGAGAAATTATTGCTTTTATAGCCTTTAGGGGTGTAAAAGCAATCAGTGTAAAAAAAAAAAAAAAAAAATCTTCATCACCCCCTACAAGTAGTGCAGTGTCAGTATGGTGACACTGCACTGCTAGGGTGACAGTATGTTAAAAAAACAAATAATAATATAAAAAAATTAAACAAAAATGTAAAAAAAAGTATAATTTTTGGTTATAAACTAATTTGGGTTGTTTTTTTTTTTTCTAATAAAAGATAACTGAATACATTTTGGCCAAAAAAAGCATCTATTTTATCATAACACATAACAATGTACAAAAAAAATCATAGGAAAACCTACAATCCAAATACAACTATCTAATATGGATATTAGAGACATTTTATCTGGCGTGTGTGAACACAAGGGCCCAGTTTTCCTAGTGAAATGGCTATAACAATGCACTGATGCATAGTACAAACAAGCTGAAATTTGAAGATGCGCATTTGTGTTTCTGTGTAACTTGGTAAAATTTAGGGAAGGTATATATATATGGTTACCTCTTTGTTCTCTACAGCCTCTCCATGGACCCAAACAGTTCCTTCTAAAAAGTTGTCTCGACTTGCTCTGAATGTTCCTTGAAGGTAAATGCCAGATTTTATCCCTTGCTGTAATTTAGACAAAGGAAGATGCTCCGAAAAGATAATTTTACCACTTTCCACCTCATTCTAAGAAATAAAAGTAATGGGCTGTTAATTTCGAAAAAAAAGAAAAAAACTGAAATGTTTAAAATCTGAGCAAAATGATAAATTATAACCAGTAGCCATACAAAGTCACCTTTATTTTCACCTAAATGAATATAATAAATATCCAGCTAATTTCTGGCATGTTATTTAAAGTAGTATTAAATCCAAAACCAAAAATTAATTATATTGTTTACCAATCATTAAATGTGGTGGTTACATCAGTTTTCTTTGTTTTTTTTTCCCTCTGTTTTCACCTGGTGATTTGACATCCTCCCAGAACGAAAGAACCGGTGCCAGTCCATCATATCCTTATATGGCGGGCGGGAGGCAGTTAAAATACAAAAAAAATCTGTGCTTCTTAGTTCACCTCCAGTGCCAAAATTCACTTCAAAACTCGTGCACCCCCACCGGTTGTGCTCTCAACTCAAATATATGACCAAACTGTTAAGTGAGGTCATATACAGCCTGTGTCCCTTTAATTGGGCTGAATGGGATCCCTTCCGCTCATCTAACGGCTCTCCTCCAACAGTGGGTATGTTAAGAGAATAATCAGCTCACACTGCTTTATCCTTAAACATTCATTTATTACTATAACGTAGTACACTCACATGATCAATGTACAAAAAGCGCTTTGAGCAAGATATTGCCTCCTGAATATTAGCAGTGATGACATCCAGTGTATAGCCAGCTATCGCGCACTCCGAGATGGATGCGGTCCTCTGTTTTGTTAAGAATTTTCCATGTTGTACTATTTCCCACTCCCAAAGCAGGCTGCCCCCTCCAATCATCCCCCTCCCTCGCTGTGGAGTGACATGTGGTCTGGGTGATGACAGAGGTCACAGGCAGCCAAAGCACAGCAGGAGAGCTCCAGAGCTATAGAACCCCCAACGGAGCTGGGGCCTAGCTGTCTGGTAGCTGTGCAATCTGGGATATCGTAAAAGCATAAACCAAGTCCTTCATGGGAATTCAAAGACATTCCAGAGAAGGCATAAAACAAGACACCACATTCAACATCCGTTTTCCCCTATGATTTCATATCTTGGAATATGAGAGACTTATATAAAAACCAGGCATAGCTTCAGATTGGTCACGTTACTACAAATCGTTTGGTATATTACATTCCCTAGCTGAGATCAACAGGAGAGCATAAAATAAAATCTCCTTAAACCAACCCAGCAGGTATGTCATATTTCATATGTAGACATTCAGCAGACAATTCTGCATATTAATCTACCCGTGAGTGGAATGTTACACGTACCTAGGAAAAGTTATGGGCCAAAATATAAGCTATGAGAGTTTCTGGTTATAACTTAGGTCTCCACCTACACTTCCCTCCCCAAAAGAGACGATTGGTTTACTGCTCCAGGGAGACACCCTGTGAATTTGCTAAAAAAGCTAGGCTGAGTTGAGCTGTGTGAAGAGTTGAAGATTCTCCCAGTAACATTGAAACTGACAGTGGGAGATCAGAAATCCTTTTTGGGCTCATGAGACTTGAAGCTGCTTAACCCAAGGCTTTTTGTCAATTACTAATCTACCTAAACTTCTGTTGTTATCTCTTCGCTGTGCTATTGTTCTCTGTATATTTATATATATATTGGCTACATCTTTTTCTGTAAATATTTTTATTGCACCCTTTTGACCTTTTAGTAATAAATCTTACTTTCTGAAAGTGTTGAACTGTTTCGAACGCCTTTAATGCAAACTATGAATTCCTGCCTCTAAAGAGCGCTACTGTGTGTTTTAAACTTCGGTATATCTCTGCCTGTGGTGACAGTGGTATACAGACAATTATTCAAACATCAGTGTATTGCTAATATTGCCGAGTTTCCTCTTTCTCTGTAGAAAAAAAGGAGGTGGTGGCAGTGTGAAGGGTTAATTGCGTAATGAACCTGACCCAGTAACAATCGCTTCCAGGCTGCCGGTACACAGACTGTGGTCCATTAGCTGGAAAATCTGTGTGCAGGGTGCAGCTGGGCGTGGCATTGTTACGCACGTGACAGCGCGGTTTTAGATTGGCTAGTCCTTCAGTCACGAGTTTGGTGAGAAGGGTTGAGGGTCTGACGCCGCGATCGCCACAGAACACTCACATGATCAATATACAAAAAGCGCTTTGTGCAAGATATTGCCTCCGGAATATTAGCAGTGATGATATCCAGTGTATGGCCGGCTGGTGTCCGTATAAAACCATCAAGGGTCGTGATGTCAAAGCCCCTCCCCATCCTCCTACGATTATTCAATAAAGAGAGCGGTGTTCCTAAGAGAAGCTGATAGATGTCCTGCTTTGGCGTTTTGATGATCATATGGTGTTTATAACTATTGCGCTTTTTGACTGTTCCCTGACTGGGAGGTCAAAATACAGGGTAAGAGACAGTGTGGTTGGTTTGGAGGTGAAGGGTCTTCTTCCTTTGTGTGACCTATTCCTCTAAGCAACATTAAGCGCAGCCTTTGAAATGAAGATTTATATGGACTGTCAGAATTTTTAGCTCACTTGCACAGTTTCTGGACTGCTTCATGCATTATACACTCACCAGCCACTTTATTAGGAAAACCTTGCTAGTACCAGGTTGGACCTCCTTTTGCCTTCAGAACTGCCTTAATTGTTGGTGACAGATTCAGTAAGGTGTTGGAAACATTCCTCAAGAGTTTGGTCCATATTAACATAATAGCATCACACAGTTGATGATTTGATGATGAGATGATATGAGCTTGGTGACATGGTGCATTACCCTGCTGGAAGTAGCCATCAGAAGATCGGTACACCGTAGTCATAAAGGAATGGACCATGGTCAGCAATAGTTCTCAGGTAAGCCATGGCGTTTAAACGATGCTCAGTTGGTACTAAGGGGCCCAAAGTTTGCCAAGAAAATATCCTACACACCATTACACCACCAGCCTGAACCATTGATACAAGGTAGGATGGATCCATGCTTTCATGTAGTTTAAGCCAAATCTCAAACCAGTCTGCCCATTCTCCCCTGACATCAACAAGGCATTGTCGTCCACACAACTGTCGCTCACTGGATATTTTCTCTTATTCAGGCCATTCTCTGTAAACACTAGAGATGGTTGTGCATGAAAATCACAGTAGATCAGCAGTTTTTTAAATACTCAGACCAGCCCATCTGTCACCAACAACCATGCCACGTTCAAAGTCACTTAAATCCCCTTTCTTCCATATTCTGATGCTCAGTTTGAACTTCAGCAAGTCATTCCAACACGTCTAGGTTCCTAAATGCTTTGAGTTGCTGCCATGAGATTGGCCGATTAGCAATTTGTGCTGCTAAGCAAGTGAACAGGTGTACCTAATAAAGAGGCCAGTGAGTGTATATGAATGCAAGTACTTGCTATTTTAGTTGTTTATACTGAATAGCTCTGCACTCTTATTTTATATTTATGTTTACATTGCTGCCTGCAATATTGTGCTAGCTGCTTTTTATTGGGATTCCCATAGTAGGAGTCCTAGCACGCCTAGTATTCTCGTTTTATACAGAATAGAGAGCAAGAGTTGTACGTTTTCTGTAAGATAACGATTAACTGTATGGGGACACAGTTCACTATTGAGTTCTCCAGTCCCATTTGCCATAGTCTGGGCAACTGACAAAGTGGAATTCCCTGAAAAGAAACTGTGAAATTAATTTAGTGCAAGAATGGCCTGGTCAACCGCCATTTCTTCCTAAATTCCACTTCCATATGGTACATAGCACTAAAATTGTCAGGGGAAGTGAACAGCCTCCGAGTGCTAGGCCAATCCCATATGAGGACCAATCGTTTTGATCAAGAGTAGGAAAAGGCTTCTTATGAATATCTCTCTTTTTGTGCCCAAAGGAACATGTGGGGGAAGAGCAGCACCAGGTGTGACTAGCTAAAGACCAGTACACACCATCAATGGGTCCATAGTAGCCAAGCAAGTCTGCAGTGAGAAACTGAAGAAATAATTTCAGTAGCTTGTGCCAAAATGTCAGTGCCCCTTTGCTGTCTGCAAAGTGAAGTGCACTGGGCATTTCGGGTTCTAACTCATGAAAATAGTTGAGGGCAAAGGGGAGGGGGGGGGGCCTTTGGAACATATCACGCACAGTGGCTTGGAACAAATCACGCATAGTAGCAGAGAATTCTGCTTTATTTAGACAGGCTACATGTTGCATATCAGTGAGAGAGCCTTATTCAAGGGGAAGTAGCAATGTTTGTGTGTAAAATCTTGCTCTGGAACAAGGGAACAGCTATGAACCTGAGAGCCGTTTGTCCATTATGCTGCTGATTCTAAGAGCCTGTAATCCACCATTGCTGAGTGAGGCTCTTCCCACAAGGAATACTCACGGCATGGATGCCGAGGTGGTTCAGCGCGTCTGGTATGAAAGAAACTGGAATAATCTAGGTGCTAACCGAGTTCATGTGGCTGCATCTCAGAGGTACGCAACATGTAAGACATCAAACGATCACCTTGTGTCGTTGGCTGAAAATGGTGCCCTGAAGTGTGCAGCCGAGGTGCCTTATGAGCACTAAGTCACTAACCAGAGAGAAACTTTCAGTAGTGAAGTGGAAGAAAGACCACTAAATTTAAATAGGTAAATTCTAAATTATCTGCATAAACCTAATGTAATTGTCAATAAAAGCCTTTGACACTTATGAAATGCTTGTAATTATACTTCACTATACCACAGTACCATCTGACAAAAAAATCTAAAAGCACTGAAGCAGCAGCCTTTGTGAAAATTAATATTTGTGTAATTCTCAAAAAATTTGGTCAGAGCTGTATAGCACTCTGATATAGAAAACTTCTACAAAGAGAAAGAGGTCCATTACCTAGGACAGAAGAAAAAGACTGGAGGCCCATAGAGTGGTCAGGGTTATGTGAGCAAGCACTAGGGGTGTTCCCAGCAAAGCTTTTGCCAGTTACCAATCTATTAAAGGTAGTGGCATATAACTCACATTCTATAACTTACTGCTCTTTACTGTACAATTGAGATAAATAGTTTGTGGATTTTACCTTGTCATCAGAAATATTGGAAAGACGATCAACAAGTTCTGGATTAGCTAACAAACTTTTTATATACTCTTCACCTAAAAAAAGAAAAAGAAAAAAATAAATACATTTTGTTCATTTTAAAATACTGTAACAGGTATGCTTAATCTAGTAATAATTTAAAAAAGGCATTCTCAATTGGGGTTCTGCGAGAAGTCCCCAGGGTCTTCACTGCAATCTGCCAATCCTTACAATCAAGCAACCGATAGAACAAGTCTCCACATGACCGACAGTCATCTGCTCCTCCTACTGCAGAGAAGCACATGGAAGTAACATACATCATTGTGCTGCACTGATCCCAGCTGTTCCTCTTCATCCCAGGTGCTCATATCCGACATCACATGGGATACACGAAAGAGGACGACCGGCAGGGTTTAGCACTCCAGATACTAAACAGCAGCTTCCTTGTGCCACACTGCATAAAAAAAAAACGTTGCTGCACTGTGTTTTACAGACATCAGTACTGTGCCCCCCCCCCCCCCCTACGCTGCTGTGTTTTCCTGACCCCACTGCACTGTGCCTTTCCTTCCTGTCTTCTCTGTAATGTTCCCTCATGGTACCCCTGCACTGTGCTGTGCTCTCTTGGCCCCCTAGTACCGTTCTGTTTGGGCCCCCAATACTGTACTGTGCTCCTGCCCCACCCCCCTGTACTCTTCCATCCTGGTACTCTGCCTTGATAAACCCCTGTACACGGCTTATCTCAAGTTTGACCCAGAATTGAGCAGCTGTACAGAAAAAGTAAGCACGAGTTTCACATTAAGCAGGTAAGTTTTAACATTTACTCTACTTAATGCTATTACACAGAATAATTGTAGTTAAATCTACAACTCGCTGAACACACCAATGTAGACATAAAAATTATTTCATCTTTTTGCCAGGTTGAGAAACCCTGATTTAAAGTGATATGTACAAGGAAAATCCAAGAGTGAATTTGCCTTATTCAGGGCTGGGCAAACTGCAGCTCTCCAGCTGTTGCAGGACTACAAGTTCCATCATGCCTCTGCAAGTCATCGGCTTTCCAGCTGTTGCAGGACTACAAGTTCCATCATGCCTCTGCAAGTCATAGGAGTCGTGCTTGTAACTTCCGGTCTTTGCAATGTCTCATGGGAAATGTAGTTCCACAACAGCTGGAGAGCCGCAGTTTGCCCACCCCTGGCCTTATTCAATAAGAAATATACAATCAAGGATAAAAATCTAATTACACTTAACACAAAGGCAAAGGAACTTCTGTTAAGTGTTTACTGCTGTCCTTCTTGGGGAGATGCTTCCTTCTATTGTGTTCCTGAGAGAAGAAAAAAGGATAATTTCTCCAACAGGGACTTAAAAGCACTTTTACTGGTAGTGTAGGAAGAATTAGAAAGAGCATTTGTCAGGTGTCCACACTGGAGAGATTTCCTTACTTTATTATAGTGCTGTGTCACAAAAATTGAGGTGGATCTCACCAATGGTGAACCTCCTACTCTGGGGTTCCCCGCAGGTGCTCTAAACTCCTCCTCTTCCCGGAGTGCGGACTTGATCCCGAGTAGGGCACTGTGTTGTCCACCGACATACACAGGTGACTCAGCCCTGACCCGCACTCCCTCACTTACAGCAGAAGCCAATGGTGCTGCCCTCGAGAGCCGCTGCTCTCAGCCAAGCCTGTGAATGCAAGAATAAAGCGCAAAGCATGGCTGCTGGCAGGGAAAGCAATGGATCGACAGCACCAGGTAAAGGTAAGTGTTTGGGGGGTGGGGGTCACAAACGGCAGATGGGTTTTTTTTACCTTAATGCATAGAATGCATTAAGGTACAAAACCCTTCTGTCTTTAAAACCACCTTAAAGCTATATTAGGTTTAGGTTAGGTCGGGGTTTAAAGACAAAACAGTGCACAGCTCTTAAACTTGCCACAGACTGAATAAATATCAATTGCGTCATCAGGAAAAGTGTCAGCTGATTGGCAGTTGAATCCAATCAGATGCAGGTGCCGTTTGCGTATTCAGACAGCCGCCGGTGTTTGAAGTCAAAATACAGCAGCTGCACAGGAAGATTCCTCTATTTGAACTGTATAGCATGGGAGCCAATCCTGAGGATTTACCCCCCTTAATGACCAGGCCTCTTTTTGCTACTCGGCACTGCAGTAATTCAACTGATAATTGCGCGGTCATGCAATGCTGCACCCAAACAAAATTTACATCCTTTTTTTCACACAAATAGAGCTTTCTTTTGGTGGTATTTGATCACCTGTGCACTTTTTATTTTTCACGCTATAAACAAAAAAAGACCAAAAATTTTGAAGAAAAACAATATTTTTTACTTTCAGCTATAAAAAATATATAGTAAACTCAAAGTTAGTTATAAATTTAGGCCAAAATGTATTCTGCTACATGTTTTTGGTAAAAAAAATCCCAATAAGTGTATATTGATTGCTTTGTGTGAAAGTTATAGCATCTACAAACTATGGTATAGATACTGCAAATTACGCCATTTTTTGCTATGCAGCGCTGTGCTAGATTAACGGACAATTTGCGCGGTCATGCAATACGGTACATAAATGAAATTTATGTCCTTTTTTTCACACAAATAGAGCTTTCTTTCGGTGGTATTTGATCGCCTGTGCGTTTTTTAATTTTTGCGCTATAGAAAAAAAAAAAGGCTGACAATTTTGAGAAAAAAAAAAAGAATATTTTGGACTTTTTGCTATAAAACATGTCCAGTAAATTTCGTCCAAAATGCATTCTGTGACATGTCTGTGCTAAAAACAACCCCAATACGTGTAAATTAATTGGTTTACGTGAAAGTTATAGCGTTACAAATTGCGGGAAAGATACTGGGATTTTTATTTTTTTTTTTATATTAATAATGGCGGCGATCATCGACTTATGGCGGCGATCAGTGACTTATGGCAGGACTGCGGCGGACATTCTGACACTGGGGGGGAATTGACTTGGGGTCACTGACATCCCCAGTGACACTAATGCAGTGATCAGTGCAAAAAAAAATACTCTGACACTGTACTAATGGCACTGGGGAGGAAGGGGTTAACTATTTTAATTAACTGAAAGGGTTAACTATGTGAGGGGAGTGTTTTTACTAGGGAGTGGGGGTGTGTGCTGCAGGGGGACACGCTGATCGGGAGAGATAAACTCTTCTCTCCTGCTCAGCATGTCAGGAGATGACAGGGAACTGACAGAGAGCAGAGCTACTGCAGCCCTGCTCTCTGTCAGTGATTGCCGCTAATCAGCGGGACACAGCCGGTAATGACCAGCTGTGACCCGGCGACTGACATCTGCGGCCATGATCGGCAGGACAGGTAGGGCGGAGGCGCGCCGCGCGCACGCCCCCAACCTGTTTTGCAAACACACGTTTTAAAACGTGGTTTTGCCCAGCTGTGCCGCCCTGCCACTGTATTTCTACAGTGGCTGGGCGGCATGTGGTTAAAAAGATTTGACATTTTATTTGGCACATCAACACATATTTCACCAATAGAATATAGCAATTCTTAACAACATACTTGCTTGAAAATATTTGTAGTTATTGCATTTGAACAGTTAGTGGCATCCTTTGAAGCTGATTTCAATCTTGCAACCTCAATATTTGGGACTACGAGTGCATTCAGCCTAAATCCAACAAATTTCGAATACTTTAGTATAGATTCTTCTTCAGGGAAAGGATACCATTCTAAAACAATAATTGTCAGTAATTAAACCTTTATACATATTGTTTATGGTCCAAAAATTAGGAAACTAACTTTACAACATGTATGACTTACATACCACCAAAATTGGTCAAAAAGGAAATGCTTTGCTGTGTTTTGGAGAATGAGTCTGAAGGGAAATGTGTGTCCTTTTTGTCTGTCATTTTGTTTTCCCCCTCCATTTTATATCTTGTATTCCATGTTGATTAATTGTTTTATATTATACCCAGAATGAGTTAATGAAAATATGCTGTGTCAGTTATGTGTTACAGAACTGTGCTCACACATTCTTTTGTTTTTTTATCTTAGCTTAGCCTTGGTAGAGGCAGGGAAAGTATCCAGTTATTTCTTTGTACTAACAGCATTTGTTTCTGCTATGATATAGTTAAAAGTCAATTATTTCTGTCCCATGGGAAAATAACTGTTGGTTACTTGTAACTGATTCAAGGTTTGAGAAACCTAAATTGTTCACGTACACAGCCTTGAGAAGTATCCAGTAAAATTCTATTCTATGATCCTCTGTTACAATTTATCATATATAAGGAGGAATATTATGAATAAAGATTAGACTGTTTTTTGGAAGCTGGTGTGCATGTGTGGATTTCTTTCTTGCGGAGAACAGTCTCTTGGGCCCAACGGGGGGGCCGGAACCTACCAGTGGTCATTAGAGGCACAAATCCCTTTCAGATTGGGGGCTCGTCCCGGGATCGGAGAGTCATCCTATCCGGTAAGTATTTGATTTATATTTTCTGATGTTTGCCGTGACTAGGCTCTGGCTGAGTTCCGATGCCTACATACTTTGGAAATATGTTTTAATGAAAGGGTATAGTGTAAAAGATTGCCGGCCGGCATAAGTACTTTTGGGAAGTACTTTAAGGACATTGGATGTCCAGAAAATGTGTATGTACTTTTGGCAAGTACTTTGAGGACATTGGATGTCCAGAAAATAATGTATATGTACTTTTGGGAAGTACTTTAAGGACATTGGTTGTCCAGGAAATAAGAAAATACTGACACTGGTGGGTTTGGGCTGCCAAAATTCTGTTGCTTATCTTTCTGTCGCGTAAAGTATAAGATAATTTGTTGTGTGACACCGATGTCCAGGTGGTAAGTGTATGGAACAGTAGTTATGGATTAAATGTTTTGCAAATGACTTGTCCTGAATGTGTATGTGGACTACTTTTTAATCATCGTAGTCCTGGAAATTACCTTGTGAATAAGGTAGAAAAAGGATATAAACATAGATTAGGCAAAAGACTTTTCTTTGATCAAGGTACTCCTAACATACAGATAGAAAGGGTAAATTTACATTGTCCAGTAGAATTTCAAGAGGGACTTACAGTGGAAGAAGTTAAAAGACAGGTTAGAGACAAAGAATATTATATAGAGTGTCCTTTTCAGGGCATAGAGTAGGAAAAGTTGTGTATTCTCTCTCTCTCTCTATCTTTCTATATTCTTTGTGATAAGAGTGATAATTGGTCACAGATCACTCGACCCGAGAAGGTACACGTGACTAGATTCACGTTTTGGGAAGACGCATCTGAGGGAAACCCTAGGTGGCATTTGAGCACTGTGAATCACTTTCACTTTTCTTTTCTTCTGAATCTGTAAAATCTTTTATAATAGACAGAATGGAACAAGTTAAGAGTAAAAATACACCTTGTCCCGAACCAGGGGAGACATGTAAGGATTTTGTAGCACGGATTTGTGGGACTAATTATTATTTTATAAATCCATGGGTGGATAATTTAGCAGAATTGACTGAAACAATGGGCAGTTCAAGTCGGTTCCCTAGAACAGGAGATAATGACACCTTTCATATGGATATGATAAAAGGCCCTAGCCCCGGACCAGCAGGTAGAACCAGACAGAAGGTGGCGACAAAGATCAAGCAATATCCATTCCTCACTGTATGAGACACGCTAATAATCAAGTGTTTGGAAGTAGAGGATATTGACCGTATCACTAAACACATTCCCAAGCCCACTACTACACCGGGGGGGACATTGGCATATTTAAAGAAGGCATGTAAAGACAGGAATTTCACACAGGAAGACATTAGACTGATTATTGACTCACTGGTTGGTACCACCCAGTGGTGCCTGATGTGCCATCTCTTCTTACAGCCATACCGTCTGATGCTGAATGGTTTTCAATAATTGACTTAGTAAATGCGTGTTTTAGTGTCCCTGTTGACGCAGAGACACAGCCCACTTTTGGTTTCTGTTTTCAGAACCGCCAGATGACCTGGTATAAAATGCCTCAGGGTTTTGTAGATTTCCATGTAGTATACTCAATTGTCCTCCAGGCCACTCTGAGGGAGTGGACACTGGACCATGGCTCAGTCCTGCTGCAGTGCACGGATGACATCTGCCTCTGCAGTCCCACTAAAGGGGGGCGGCCTGAGGGATGGGGAGAGTTTGTTGAAATGTCTTTTTGAGAGCGTACAGAAGATGACAAAGAAAAAATTGCAATGTGTAAAGCAAGTGTTGAAGATCTGAATGTTGTGCTCACAAAGGGGGAAAGGAAAGTCAATCAAAAGAGAGCTGCGGCTCTCCTGAATCTTGCTCGCCCACAGACCAAGAAAGACATGCTCTCCTTTCTTGGAGCCATTGGTTACTGCCGCCAGTGGACACCTGACTGTTCCTACTATGACAATCTGTTAAGACAAGCCACAACCCAGGAAATGTCAGAAATTGTTAAATGGTCAGATGCCATGGTTGATGCATATGTGCATTTGAAAAATGCAATGGTAACTGCCCCAGTCCTCGGCCTCCCTGACTATGTAAAAATGTTTCATGTGTATGCAAGGGACAATTGTAAGACCATGGCCGGTGTACTCGCCCAGGAATACGGAGGCAGACTTCGCCGTGTAGCTTTTTTTCTCAAAAGTGGTGCCAGTTCAGGTCCAAGGCATGCCTGTGTGTCTCAAAGCGTTAGCATCTTGCGCTATGGCTGTGGAGATGTCCATGTCATTCACCTTAGGACACCCTACAACATTGCAAACTACACATAATGTAGCTATTTTGCTAAAAAATATACACACTCAGCACGTCTTCCAAGAGGCTGAGCGGCTATGAGGTCATTCTTTTGTCCAACCCTAATCTCACCATCAAATATGCGTCAGCCACCTCAGGACCTGCTCTCATTCTTAATGCTGTTAGGATTAAAGGGGGAGGATTTACTAATAGATGAGAAAGGTCTCTTTTTCAAAGAGGGGAAGCCATGCATCCCTGCAGCAAGTGCTCCCCTATTCATAGAACAATACCACGGAGTAAGACATAGGGGCTGGCATAACACCTGTGAAGTTTTATTACAAGATTTTTTTATATTGCAAGTCTCCCCAAATTAGTGAAGGCTTTTGCATCCAGATGCATTGTTTGTATCCGTAACAATCCAAACATACCAAATAAGTATAAACATGAGCATCTACAATACCCTACCACTCCTTTTACACACCTTCAAGTTGATTTTACACACATGCCAAAGATAGGAAAGAAACAAGAATATCTTTTGGTGATTTTAGATGTGTTTTCTAGTGTGGGTAGAAGCTTATAAGACTACGAAGGAAGATGCCCAGACAGTTATCCGTATTTTCACACAAGAAATCACCTAGATGGGGGGTGTTTGTTATAAATCAGCTCAGACAATGGCCCAGCTTTTGCATTTAAAGTATGTCAGGCCCTGGTAAAAGCCCTTAGGATAGAATGGAAATTTCACATTCTTTATTATCCACAAAGTTCAAAGATAGTAGAAAGAATGAACAGGACCATAAAGGATAGACTAAGGAAAGCAACTGGGGGCACTTTTGCAAATTGGACAAAGATGCTCCCCGTTATCCTTGCAGAGATTAGAATGACACCTAGCAAAACCACAGGATATTCACCTTTTGAAACTCTAATAGGAAGACCATTCCCTTCTCCCTGGGCTAGATCACCTTTAACCCTAGAGGCAGGAGATTTGGAACAGATTAGGGAAGAGTATGTCTGTAAATTGATTGAAACTTTGGATATGGTTGAAAGAAATGTTGCTCGCACCTCTCCATTTTCTTCACAGGTCCCTACACATCCTTTCCAGGTTAGTGATATCTTAGTGGTCAAGCAGCTAGCCCAGAGCAGAAGGCCGGGTATCCTTTCGGGTCAGAGACCAGAGTGATAGCAGTCACCAGAACCACAGTTTTAGTGGAGAATCAGCAAGCCTGGATCCATGCCAGCCAGGTTAAGAGTTAAGGTGGCCAAAGACACAGGCACAGGAGAGGACCGGGACAAGGTGCTGCCTATTAAAGGAAGTGAAGCAGGTGATTCAAATCCTCGAAGAGTAAGTGAAGCTGGTGAGAAAGCTTAATGTGCTCGTAGTCCCAAATATTGAGGTTGCAAGATTGAAATCAGCTTCAAAGATTACCACCAACTATTCAAATGCAATAACTACAAATATTGTCAAGCAAGTATGTTGTTAAGAATTATATATATATATATTCTATTAGTGAAATATGTGTTGATATGTCAAATCTTTTTAAACAATTGTTTAGTCTGTATATACTTAAGGTTGCCTTAAACATCCCACCAAATTCTCTCTATTACAAATATGGGGATCATGGCAACCACACCCCAAATTACACCGGATGACTTTTTATTTATACCCCATACTTCAAGGATAACAGCTTTCAGACCTTGCCTGGCCCTGGTATATTCAACACAATAACAGCAAAACAAGCTGCTTCATTGCTTGTCTGTTTGCAATTCACAGGCTGGATTAAAGGAAAAGTTCACCTTTAAAAATAATAATAATAATAATAAATAATGATTATAATAATAATAATGCACATCTTTTGGCAAGTAAAAAAAAAATGTGCATTTATTTTTTATTCTTTTATTGAGAGCCTGTAAAGCATTGCACCTGCGATCAGCAGACAGTAGGTGCAATGCAGGGCTCTTGCAACCTGCATCTGTCAGTGTAAGCTGTATGCTCATACCTCATACGGGCAGTCAGCTACACAATGACAGAAAACATTAATGAACTACCTAGAGTGTTCAACAGCACCCTGGTACTACAAGCTGAAAGCCTTGTAGTTCTCCCATTCACAATTCTCTGTGAATGAACGACACGGCAAGGTAGGCGCATCTATTTGAAAAAATTGTAACAGCAAGCGCAGGGAGAAGATCCCCGTGCCTTCTGTCACAGCAGAAACTCTGGGATTGGGGGGCAGCAATGGCATGGGTGCAGCTGCAGTAGCAACATGTTACACCCTGAATATGAGTGTAACATGTTATAAAAGGTGAAATTATCCTTTAAAAAAACGACTCTGTCTGTGCACCTTAGTACTCCAGAAATGCTAAAATGGCAAGCTCTCAGCAAGTTGGCTACTCAAACATCCTCTTACATTTAACAATAAGTTGTAATTGGGCATTTATTTAAAAAACAAGGGTGTTTTTTCTTTGAGCTGTAGCAAATAAAAAAAAAAAAAAAAAAAGCCACAGCAGAGTTTTAAAAATATTGTTATATTGTTCTAAAAGCATTCTTCAACTGAAATACAGTATATAGCTACCAACTACCCTTAGCAGTTACGATTAAGCACTTTGTGCAAAATACATCAGGTTTCTGTCTGTTTATTGCTTGTATATCTAAACAATAAATCTTATGGTTGAGCAAGACAAACCAAAGAATTAAGTGGTTACTATTTTCTTGCTTAGTAAATGCAATATTTTGATCATACACAGTAAAACTGATCACATAGGAAAGTAAAAAAAAGACTTACAGGTATACGCTACAATTCCTTCTTCCACCGCTTTCTCTTTATTTCTCCGGTCATTTGTTATTAAAAGCACTTGTAGGTCCTTGTTTTTTGTTGAATTCTTCAAGTGCTCATTGTACCATTTTACTGACGTTCGAATTGCCCTGTCGTTCCGATCATTAGAATTCTCTCCTTGTTCTTGTTCTATGTAGGTCTCACTGTCATGTACATGAAAAGCTCATTACCAAAAAGATTTTGTGCCTGAACAGTTACTGCGTTTGGCTAACCCTGTCTATCTTCTTGTATTATATACTGTATATTCCTATGCTTTAAAAAAAATTTCCAAACAGTAGTGTGACTACATGTGGATTAATAAGACAGTGGTAATATTATAGGTTAACCAAAAAGCACCACTATCAGCAGGGACCAAAACTGAGATCTTAGACAAACTAAAGAAGAAAGAAAAACCTTCTCCAAATTGGACAAGTGGAGGATGTCACCAATAATCAGAATCATTGCTTTGTGCTTTATAAAAAACACAGTTTTCAACCCAATTACTTTACTTGATTACTGCTCAGAAATCCAACAGCAGAAGCAGTAGAAACCCAGGTCATCTTTTATTGCTAGAGGAGCTTTATCGAAGAATAAACTACAAAATATAGTGTAACTAGATTGCACTTTAGTATGCAAATGCACAGTTTGTGAATTCTAATATGTTCACTTTATTAGAGTATTCAAAAACCTTCAATAGCCGTAAAGGTGAACAGTGGCTAAGTGGTTAGCACGTCTAACCACAGCATTACCGACACAGAGTTTGCATGTTCTCCCTGTGCCTGCATGGGTTTCCTTCTGGTATTCTGGCTTCCTCCCACATTCTAAAGGTATGCTAATAAGTCAATTGGCTCCTGTCTAAATTGGCCCCAGTATGTGTATAAATGTGATTTAAAGACCTTAGATTGTAAGCTCATTGAAGGAAGGAACTGATATGAAAGCACAATATAAATGTAAAGCGCTGGGTAAATTGACACTATATACAATAAGTACCTGTAATAATAGTGTTTCTCTGACATCCTCTTTCCAAAGACACTAGAGATAGATGAACTTAATGAAGGTTATTATGTATTTTACCCAAATGTTAAATAATGTTTGTGATGCAAAGAGATTGATTATAGACAGATCGAGGGACAAAGTGTGGATTGATGCACGAGTATTTTATGGAGGTCTCTTAACTGAGATCTGTTTTAAAACCACTTATCACATTGGATATAAATAGATGTAATATGATGTGTGACCACTAGATGTCTCTGTCCGGATACCACTATGGTTAATAAAATGGACATTGGTGGACAAGAGAGTATAAAGTGTTAAATTCCAAAGGAGGTCAGTTATAAATAAGAGAACGCCAGTGCCATTTAGACATCATCGTAAAGACGAAACGTTAGGGATGTGGCTGAACAGTGTGAAGGAAGTAGCATCAGTCCGTGGATCGACAGGGTGAGTTTTAAATTACCACTGTGGGGAAGGAAGATTTTGGATGGATCTACCTAAATGGATGATCAAATAAAAGTGTTGTTTGCCATTCAGTAATATGACTTGGGGTGAGTGTTGTATCCTGAGGGGATGTGGTTCACTGAGCACAAAGGGTGATTGATCTGCTACTCTGATTAACCACTTGCCAACTGGGCACTTATACCCCCTTTGTGCCCAGGCCAATTTTCAGCTTTCAGCACTGTCGCACTTTGATTTGCCAATTGAGCGGTCATGCAACATTGCACCCATATGGAATGTTTACTTTTTTTCACACATATAGAGCTTTCTTTTGGTGGTATTTAATCACCACTGGGTGTTTTATTTTTTGCGCTATAAACAAAAAAAGATCAAAAAATTTGAAAAAAAAAAAGTTTTTCTTTGTTTCTATTATAAAAGTTTGTAAACAGGTAATTTTTCTCCTTCACAGATGTGCATTGATGAGGCAGCACTGATGGGCACTGATAGGCAGCACTGATGAGGTGACAACTGATGGGCGCAACTGCACGGCACAGGCGAGTGACACTGCACAGCACAGGTGGGTGGCACTGATGAGTACAGGTGGGCAGCACTGCTGGGCACTGATCATCAGTGACGATCACTTCTCTGACAATTGCCGGTTATCGCAGTACTTTCCTCACGCTGTGACAGTGGGAGGAAAGTGCAGCCAATAACCGACAACTGTACTTACCCGGTGATCTGCTGTGTCATTGGACACAGCTGATCACGTGGTAAAAGGCCGCTGTGATTGGCCGTTCACTGTATCATGTGATCAGCTGTGTCCGTAGGACACAGTGATAACAGTCAGCGCAGAGTGTGCACCGCTGGGGTCATGCAGGGGGCATGTTCTGGAACGACGTCCATGGACGTCGTCCCAGAACTAGACAACTGCGCTGTAGCCATCTTTCGGCTATAGCGCGGTAGGTAAGAGGTTAAAGGTGGAGGAATAAAGCTGTGAGCTATTTGACCCAGAGGAAAACATCTCACTGACTGTTTGGGATTTGCTGCACTTTTCATCACCGATTGGTGGAAGACTATGAACTTTTAAAAGTGTGGAGCGCTGCTGTGATTAATGTTATATTGATTGATATTCATGACAATGTAACAGTAAAGTTTTTGACATATTCAAACAAGAGCATGACTGAGAGAATGAAATTCTAAAAGAATCAAATATTTCACTGACTAAACCTGAAAAAGAATCTCTCTTGTGAGCCAAGTTGCCTCTATGAAGCATGTCTTCTGCAAAGTTGCTGTGAAAAAGTTCCTGATGAGGACCCGCCCCCTCCTCTGCCATTGAGAAAAGTTATTTTATTGCTTTCGCTGCCCAGAAATCAATTCGTTAATGGGAAGAGGGGGGGGGTGGAAGTCTGATATGTCACGGTATTCTCTTCCCCATTCACAGATTGTGTTACAGGCAGTGAAAACTTTGAAAGAACATTTCTTATTGGAAGAGGAGGGGGCACTTCTTTGTCGGGAACATTTTCACAGAATCACAGAACACCCGAAGCCATTTACCACCCCATGTAGGCCCAGAAGTTAAGAGAAAGGAAGTGAATGGGGCATCCATTCAGAAAAGATTTGAACAGGATCCAGCTGCCTGCATGACATGGGACATCACAAGTTAGCTCTCTAAAGTTATTTCTTAGCAAATGTTAGTAAGTTAGCTCTCTAAAAGGTTTTTTTATAGCTAAATGTATGCTTTAATATCTGGACAGTCATCTGCTATAGTTGTTGTTTTGTGGAAAAAGGAAATCTGTTACCGATGGTACTCATTGGAGAACGTGAGAAGTACTTCTCAGGGTTACTAGTAAGATCCCGGACTCTTTTGTAAACTGGGGCACTTCGGCGCCTGACTTCCTGGAGTACGGTCTGCAGTAAGATCACATTCTGAATAACTGGGTCTTCAAGGATATCAATCTAAACAAAAAATATACAATGAATTAAAAAATATGCTTCAAACTATGACAAGCAAGTGTAAACAATTTCATAGTATCCAGTTACTTTGTGCAATCTGAAAACATAAAATATATGTTACAGAAAAAAAAAAACTGTAAGACCCCGGTCACACTGGGCGCGACTTGACATTTTATTTGCATTCCATGCGACTAGCAAATCGCATGCCAAGTCACACCCTATTGTCTGCAATTACAGCGTCATATCAATGGGCTGCGACTTTGTCGGAGCCGCACCGATTTCTAAAGTAGTACATGCACCACTTTTGGTGTGATTTGCATAGACATCTGGGTCAAATATCTTGCAAATCGCACTTTAAAAAAAAAAAAAGGACCAGCGATTACACATACATACGGACAATCAGCAGGCTCAAGCATGAGATGAGCCAAACAGAACTGCAGTCAGCAAGTATCAGTAGCCAAATCATAAATATGAAATTATAAAAATCTTGATAAATAACAGGTATATAACAGAGACATATATTTGAAAGAACTGTCCCATAAAAAAGGCATGAAGAACATCAATACATGTTCATGTAAAGTTCATCAAATAAAACATCACAGAGGAGAGAGAAAAAAATAAATAAAACGGGAGAAAAATAAGAAGTGAACATAGAAAGAGAGGGAAGATAGAAGAGAGAGTCAGGAGCAGGGACTGACAAGGGGCGGAACCAGAATGGCCCCCACTCCAAAGGGGCCCAGAGTTGCATTCCCAAACATACAGATTGAAAGCAAGTACACTGATATGACACAGACCACCGTGGGTCTACCCGACCGAACGGGCTAAGTCTAAGGAGGCATAGTAGGAGCACACAACTCCTGAAGGGTCGAGGAGAGGGAAAAATGGAGCCAGACCGACCATAATAAATGTTTTTCATAGGTATCATTGGCAAATGCCAACATCTCTTCCATTCTCATATCATTAACAGCAGAACCCCACAATGGTAGGGAGGGGGGGTGGCTGATTTCCAGAAAAGCAGTATCAATTGGCGTGCCGCAGACAGGAAGAAATGTGATAAACATTTCTTCTGGGCCGTCAGTGAGCCAGGTAAGAGAGAGAAGGGCAATCTCCGGGGATGAAGTCAAGGACTTACCATAGATTTATTACAAACGTCAAAAATGTATCACCAGAAGGGTCGATTTTTATCACAATCCCACCAAATATGGAACTGGAGTACCCACAGCCGTATTACAACACCAGCAAAGATTAGGTGTAGAAGGGAACATCTTGTGAAGGGAATAGGGATCCCTATACCATCTGGAGAGGAGCTTAAAATTCTTTTCCTGAGAGTAGCAAGATATAGAGGATTTATGGGTGAAGTGGAACGATATAAACCATTCCTCATCAGATATATCTTTGCCAATATCCCGTGACCATGCCCTGGTGAAGGGCGGAAGTTCAGAGCGGATTGCTGCATGTAGTATCCTATAAAGGGAAGCCAGGACATGTCTCGAAGGTTCAGAAAGGGAACACAACCGCTCAAACTCAGTAAGCGGACGATGAATTTGAGAAGTGGAATATAAATTTTTACAAAACGAGGATAAGTGTAAAACAGTCAGCCAGTCTCTGGGGCCACCTGGGAGCTGATATAACAAGATCAAGTTGGCTTGATTCCAGGTCAACAAGCTCCTGACGCTACACATAGAATTCTCAACCTACTGTATCCTACGGTGTCCTCAGGAACCCCATCTCTGCTCCGATCACTAGACACAAAAAAAGTCTTTGATAGGATACACTGGGGTTACCTGACACAAGTTTTGCATAAATTTGGCATGAAAGGAGACATTTGTTCAGCTATACTAGCTTTATGTACCAATCCTTCGGCTTTTGTGTACACAGAAAGTATGTTTTTAGATAGCTTTTCAATTACCAACAGCACCAGACAAGGATGCCCACTATCACCCCAGATTTTTGCCTTACTTATGGAGCCCCTTGCTGAAAAAATAAGATCACACCCAAACATCAAGGGCATCCTTTCCGAGACCAAGCCCACTATCTCCCTTTTTGCCGATGATGGCATTCTATCCCTCTCTAACCCAAACCCATCTCCCTTCCATACATGAAGTGCTCAGTTTAATAAAATATCTTTCTATAAAATTAATGTTGTAAAAACTAATATACTAGGGATATCCATAGATGAAGCCACCAAACTTAAGCTACAGTCTCAATTTCCTTATCCATGGTCTCAAAACTCCATTCAATACTTGGATATCACCCTTACTTTCCCTACTACCTGCCACTTCTAAATGTTTCTGCACTACCTGCACATTAGACATACATGAAACGGAAATCCCTACCCCCTTATCTCCTAAAATATTCTTACCAGATCTCAACACATCCCACTGGACCAGAAAGGAATTACTATACTCTCTAACCTTTATGAACATGGCAAATTCATCCTCTTTAATTTTCTCCTCAACGTGTATTCTCTGCCCAATACAGATTTATTCACACATAGAATAGTCTTTTTCCTTAAACGATACCCTCTTACACCAAAAACAGTTCCACACCAGGATTAGGCGTTCTGGCGCAACATGCAGGCTAATCGAAAGGGAATCTCTGTTTTACAAACTCCTACAACAAGAAAAACATTTTCACAAAACCACCCCAATTACTCAAATAGGAAGGAGAACTAGCAAGCTCATTTAGTGAGAAACAGTGGCAAAAAGCCATGAAATACAACCAAATTTACACTACTTTAGCTTCATACTGGGAATTAGTGCAAAAAATACACGTCAGGTGGTATCTTACTTCATTTATACCAGCTAAATTCACACCGCAAGGCTCTAACGAGTGCTGGCGGAGATCTGGAATGGTAGGCACACTGTCTCATATGCTATGGGCATGCCATCATCTTCATAAGTCCATTTTTGTTTGCTCTCCACAACCACCGGCATACTAAGTAAGAACAACTTTGAACAAGCAATTTTAAGTACCAATATGGACCACTTCTTGCCGGCACTTAGCTTACGTGCTTACGTGAAACGTGCATAGCTATGCACGTTTCACGGCCTATATTTGTAGTCAAACGTAAATGCAAGTCAAATGTGTCTCCTGGAATAGACAAGGTTATTAAACGACTGGAGGAAGTTCATAAATTCGAACAGTTTATGACCCATAAAGATGGTTAATATCACTTGTTTTACACACAATGGGAACCTTGGGCAGCATACAGAAACCTGAAATAAACCAAGTTTATATTATAACTCTGATCAGATGGTTATTTAAGTTGGAAGGTAATAGCACATAGAAATCCTGAATTGTATTACATTACTTTTCGACGCTTTGTTTTTCAAGTGTTATTCTGTAATCCTGATATGTTGGTAAGACTTCATTGATTTGTCACCACACTGATAGTACTATTTTAAAACATGCTATGTTAACACACTAAGTCCATACACAGCAATAACATGGGTATATATACAGACCTACCGAGACCTTAAAGCCTGTGTTCCATTACGTATAACTGAACCTACTATTATACATTTCTGTTTCATAATATATTGGACAACACTTATTTTACATATTGTGGTGGATGGCAACCTGAAAAGTTTTCAATAAAGAATAATTTGGAAAAAAAAGTGAAATACAGTAAAAAGTACAAGCCTGGGTTTTAAGCGTAAAGTTCCACTATAACAATGGGACAGAGCATGCATGAAAATCTCAACCTGTTCCCACCATTCCTAGTGACAACCGAAATATCATGACGTCACCAAGAGCAGCAATATTTCACTTACAGAAGTCAAATACAAAACTACCAACTGAGAGCACCAGTAGGTACCTTGCATTGGTTAACATTGCCCATTTTATTTAAACAAATGTCATACCTGGTGAAGCAACACATTAGTGTCAGGCAAAATGTAGTGGGGATGTTGACAAAGAGAACTTTGCATATGGGATTCCTGACAGAGGACCGGGTTCTCCTGTTTGCACTCCTCACAGCCCTGGAAACCACAGGTAATATCGTCCCTCAAGTAATGTTCTCTGACAATTTTTAAAATTGCACCTGAGCGTGTCTTCTTCACAAAGGTCTTTGATTTCAACATTTTCCTTTTATTTCTTCTTTAGCTGCAAAAGATATTTATAAAAGAACATACAATGCAGTTAGACATTAGAAGAAAGGTATATATGGCAAACGTTATATCTTTCAGACATACATATAGAAGGAAAGGATAAGTAAAACAATTAAATGTTCCTTTCCCAATTTCGCCATGGCTCTGCATACAACATACAAGAAACCGCAAAGTAAATATCTTTTTTTAGTGAATTATATGTAATCACTTGACAGCAACAGTCCATTACTCTCATTACTTCTGGTACAGCAGTCGGGAGGGTAACCCCTCTCCCTCCTACAAAGCCTAGAGATGTTGACATCAGTAGGTGGGATCAATGCTTTAATGAATTTACCCTCTGACAGCACATGAGAGGGTAGTGTATCTAGCTGCTCGTCCCCAATATTAAATTTTGAGACTTTGATGCAGCTGATAAAACAATTCACAAGTAATTATATAAACATTCATATATGCTTTATTATACCAAAAAACACATTGAAAGATTCATTACATACTAAAATCACATTGATAACTCTGATATGCTATTTTAGTGATATAGTTCCTTAGAGAGTTAAAGCAACACAACATTCCCCGAGAACCCTGGTGTGTTTCGATCATTCCAATTTAAGATCTTCCTCGGGGGCATGAAACAAAGGCGATCTAGAACATCCATTGAACAGCTAAATATACCAGAGCAGTCCTAAAAACAATGATGTTCAACACAGAATTGCATGTCCCGACAGATAATGGTGTGAGCAATCTGATGGTGCACAGGTGGTCACATGGACATCTCAAAAGGAAGAAATCAACCTGCCCTCATTTATATCATTCTATAAAATTACATGTATAGGGTGAACCTGGGAAACCCAGATATTTCTCTTCCATACTGGTAAGGGAAAAGATGGTAAAAGCTCCAATCAATTAGAGATACCCCCAATCACTTCATCACTATCTCAGGAAGTGGGAAAAGCACAAACCCAGACCCCTAGGCAGATAGATGTCCCTTTCACACATCCACCAAGCTTTTCCTAGTATTCCAGGGATTCCCACCTGCATCAAAATAAGGGGGGCTGTGGACAAGCCAAAAAGAAAGAGCCACAAACTGAAGTGCTGCTGGTCCACCGCAAACTGCAGGAACTGTTGATGCAGAGGGAAAATAGGGACAAGTAAGTAAGCATTCTCGATCAATGCTAGAAATACCCATTGCTGCAGCGATGCAATTACAGGCGAGTCAATTCCATCTACAGCTTTTGGACCAGCAAGAAGGAGTTAAGAGCCCTCAAGTCTTGGATAAGGCAAACTTCAACCATCAATACAAAAAGACATATTAAAAGGCTAGAAGCATCTACCGCAAAGTTTTAACCAAAGTGAATTACACTCCACGACTGGTATTCATTGTGCTCCTAGATCTTTATATGCATACATTGCAAATCTCTCCGACATATGTATAGAAATTCAGGGCTTGAGAAATTTGCTTTGAATCTAGGAGCCAGCTTAAAAAGTTAGGAGGCAGTTTTTTTTTTTTTTTTTTTTAGCATAGTGTGGACTGTCAGCGCCCAGGGCAAAGCAACTCTGAGCAAGAGACAAGCTTCATGTGATGTGATTTGCAGCATGACCATCACAGCAAAACCGCACCACGCTTTAGGTGCCATTTAAAATAATGGCACCTAAACCTGCGTTTTGCGACTGCAGCAATTCTTCCGCGATGCCAAAACGCCCAGGTGTGAATAGAGCTGCCCTGGTTCACACAAATACAATTCTGGATGTGTTTTCAAACTCACAAAATTTGTGTGACAGACTAGATGTTATGTGTTCCTATTGAGATGTTTCACACAAATGCGATCCATGCGTATTGAGTGCCATTACAAAAAAGGGTCATGTGCGAATTTGTAACAGTGTGTTCCAGACTCGCAAGTGGTAGAGTAGCATGTATAGAAAAGTGTTCACATAGGATTGCTATTGACAGGAGTTTTTGCATTGAAGGCTACGGGAGGAGATTTTGCATTGAAGGCTACGGAAGCCGATTTTGCATTGAAGCCTACGGGAGGCGATTTTGCATTGAAGCCTACGGGAGGCGATTTTGCATTGAAGCCTAAGGGAGGCGATTTTGCATTGAAGCCTACGGGAGGCGATTTTGCATTGAAGCCTACGGGAGGCGATTTTGCATTGAAGGCTACGGGAGGCGATTTTGCATTGAAGCCTACGGGAGGCGATTTTGCATTGAAGCCTACGGGAGGCGATTTTGCATTGAAGCCTACGGGAGGCGATTTTGCATTGAAGCCTACGGGAGGCAATTTTGCATTGAAGCCTACGGGAGGTAAATTTGCATTGAAGCCTATGGGAGGCGATTTTGAATTGAAGTCTACGGGAGGCAGTGCATAAACCCAGGCGCCAAGATGCAATTTCTAATCACCATGGTGACCCGGTGCCTGGGATTTTTCGAGCCCTGCACTAATGCAGGCCATAGACGGGTCAAAAACCGGTTGTTTTAAAAATAAATAAATAAATTTAAAAAAATTGGTCGTTCAATAAGCCGACGTTACCAACAAGGGTAAAATTAAAAAAAAAAAATTTTTTTAAAAATCGGCCGATTTTCATCCCGTCTACAGCCGGCATTTAATTACTTCTGTCTCTTGCAGAGAGCTCCGCTATTATATTTGACATGAAAAAGAATTGCGGTTGCAACAATGTATCCATTTGTATCCATTTCGCGTACAGATCTTTTTATTCGGATACAAATAGATACATTGTTGCAAACACAATACTTTTTCATGTCAAATATAATAGCGGCCTGGAAATCTTATTAATCTTTTCTTCTTCTTTGTCTTGTTCTTCTTCTTGCAGGTCACGGCTCATACGCAGATTTTTTATCGGTAAAACCATCGGTCAATTTGCCCATCATTGCCGGGAAAATCGGCCGAACTTTACCGATAAAAAAATGTGCCAAAACCCTGTTTAGTATCTAAAGTATCTAAGTATCTAAAACACAAATTTATAATAACATACCCCTAATCTCAATACATCATCTTACATCACAACTTTCCCTACTGTACATATAGCTCTATATCTTTACACACTATTAATCATGTTTACATATACATCATAAAACTACTTGCACAAATAACTAGCCCTAATGTAAAAAATGCATATGCCTCACTCCACGAACACTGACCCCGGGAAGCCACAAGGGATACCCTCGGACACCTTCTCCTTGAATAAACCAGGTGACCTACAGCCCTGGCCAAAAGTTTTGAGAATGACACAAATAATAATTTTCACAAAGTCTGCTGCTTTAGGGTTTTTAGATTTTTTTGTTAGACGTTACTATAATATGCTAAAGTAGAATTACAAGCATTTCATAAGTGTCAACGGCTTTTATTGACAATTACATTAAGTTTATGCAAAAAGTCAAAATTTGCAGTGTTTACCCTTCGTTTTCAAGACCTCTGCAATTCGCCCTGGCATACTGTCAATCATCTTCGGGGCCACATCCTGACTCATGGCAGCCCATTCTTGCATAATCAATGCCTGGAGTTTGTCAGAATTTGTGGGGATTTTTTTTGTTCATCCGCCTCTTGAGGAATGATCACAAGTTCTCAATGGGATTAACTACCTGCCGACCGCAGATAGTCGAATGACGGTTGCACTGCGGCCGGCCAGTTCTGGGTGGACGTCATATGACGTCCTCCCAGAACGCGCTCTCCTGCGCGCCCCAGGGGGCACCCGGCGATCTCCGTGATCGCTGTGTCCTACGGACACAGCTGATCACGTGATGTGGTAAAGGCCAATCACAGCGGCCTTTTACCACCTGATCAGCGGTGTCCAATGACACGCTGATCAGAGGGAAATGCAAGTGCCGGTTCTCGGCTGCACTTTCCTCACGCTGTCAGATCGTGAGGAAAGTACTGCCGAGAACCGGCAGATGTCAGAGTGGGGATCGGCACTGATGATCAGTGCCCTGATGATCGGTGCCCAGCAGTGCCACCCGCAAGTTCCGCCCAGCAGTGCGCCCACTAGCTCCGCCCACCCGTGCCCAGCAGTGCACCCACCTGTGCCCAGCAGTGCCACCTACCTGTGCCCAGAAGTGCCACCTACCTGTGCCCAGAAGTGCCACCTACCTGTGCCCAGAAGTGCCACCCACCTGTGCCCACCCACCCGTGCCCACCAGTGCCACCCACCTGTGCCCACCCACCAGTGCCACCCACCAGTGCAGTCCAGCAGTGCTGCCAGTCAGTGCCCAGGGGTTGTGCCAGTCAGTGCCCAGCAGTGATGCCAGTCAGTGCCGTCTATCAGTACCCATAATCAGTGTCACCTATCAGTGCCGCCTATCAGTGCTGCATATTAGTGCCACCTATCCGTGACCCCTAATTAGTGCTGTCTATCAGTGCCGCCTATCCGTGCCACCTCATTAGTACTGCCTATCAGTGCCCTTTAGTGCTGCCTATCAGTGCCCATCAGTGCCGCCTATCAGTGCCCATCAGTGCTGCCTCATCAACGCACATCAGTGAAGGAGAAAAAATACCTGTTTGAAAAATTTTATAAAAGAAACAAAAAAACTTTTTTTTTTTTTCAAATTTTTTGCACTTTTTTTATTTATAGCGCAAAAAGTAAAGCGCCCAGTGGCGATTAAATACCACCAAAAGAAAACTCTATTTGTGAGAAAAAAATGATCAAAATTTCATATGGGTACAATGTTGCATGACCGCGCAATTGTCAATCAAAGTGCGGCAGCGCTGAAAGCTGAAAATTGGCCTGGTAAATAAGGGGGTATAAGTGCCTGGTAGGTAGGCAAGTGGTTAAGGACTGAGGAGTTTCCTGGCCATGGACCCAAAATTGTGATGTTTTGTTCCCCATGCCACTAAGTCATCACTTTTGCATTATGGCAAGGGGCTCCATCATGCTGGAAAAAGGCATTGTTCATCATCACACTGTTCTTGGATGGTTGGGAGAAGTTCCTCTCGGAGGATATTTTTGTACCATTCTTTATTCATGGC